GTGAACCTATCTTTGTACTTGTAAACTTGATTACTTTCTTACAATCAACAGTAGCGCTGGACCATCTTTGGGTGCCTATAATTATGACAGCACATATGGAAAGAAGGCCTTGATGTTGATGTATAGGGGAATAATGGAGCTGGTGGGTCATGTTCCCTTGTGACCATTTTTGCACTAGGTTTTGTATTATATTGGGTAAGTGCTAATGTTTTTTTTCCTTCAGGATTCCCTGCCAATTGTTCCTCCAGGATGTTCATCTGAAGAACCTGATAAAGTCCAGGATTTTATGGTGAAGGCAAAGGCTGCTTTAGTGTCGGTCGGAATAGTTAGGGACACAGTCGTTGGTAATCTTACTGTCTTTGGCATAATATGTCCATCCTATTTTAAGCTAATAAATGGTATTTATGATATATTGCTGTATCTGTGCAGAGTTGCGACTTCTGAAATTATGTCTGACCCACCATTCTGCTTTGCTGTTGTAATTTTGAAGTTATTTTTATTGTGATATAGGGAATGGAAAAGACAATTTTAAGATTTCTGGTCGTATAATTGATTCAGACATGCATGATGTTGGTCGCTTTCTCAATCGACTGTTGGGGCTGCCACCTGACATTCAGAATAGGTTTGTTTCATTTGAATTGATTGGTATGATGGTCTGGAATTGGTCTCAGTCTAACATGCTGAGTTAACTTATTTTCCAGGCTTTTCGAGCTATTTGTCAGTATTCTAGATCTGGTCATTCAAAATGCACGCATTGAGGGGCATCTTGATTCAGGCATTGTTGACATGAAAGCAAATACTATAGAACTACAAGGAACTCCAAAGGTGAGGTTTTTCCGCCTTTAACACCTTTAACATTCTGAGCTTCGCTCCTGAGCCATTTAACTTCAATTTCCTGCAGACTGTTCATGTTGATCCTACATCGGGTGCATCAACAGTGCTCCTTACTTTCACTCTGGATCGTGGAATCACTTGGCAGGTATTCTTTGCTGAAAGTAAGATTTGTCTTTTGCTTTTCTTTTGTGCTTCATTACTCAGATTGGGATCACATTTTGTTTCAGTCTGCAAGCTCTCTGCTAGAGGAGAGGCACAAGGATGGCATTGCTTCATCTAGTGACGGATTCTATGAGTCCAAGAGAGAATGGTTGGGAAGGCGTCATTTCATCTTGGCATGTGAAAGGTAATAATTGGATTTTCTGATCTTTGGGATCTGGGGTTGTTCATAGGACACTGTTTATTTGGTGGCATAACTATCTATGTGAATCTCCACTGCTAGATAAGTAGAGTCCCCAGTTTTAACCTTCTTTCTGAGAATTTTTTCCATAATGGTGCTCATTCCGTCTCATGCTTGTGACTCCTGTACTATTCATAATCAACTACCGTTTCGTCATAATGGATGCATTCTAGCACAGTGGAGGAGATAGATATGTTGAGATAGATCTTCTCAGTGATATCATCGTGAAGAGTCAAAGCTGTTATGCCTTCTTTGGATGAGTTATGAGTTTGCTTTCTCAGATGAGTGTTCTTAATTTTATAGGTTCTAGTAGTTTGTATGTCCACTCTTGTTCTCATACTTTTGAGTCTTCATCTCCTATTTTTTGTAAGGCGACTTTGAAAGTTGTTTATTTGACCAGTTGTCTTTTGGGATTACTGATGATTTCTATCTGAATTGCTGGTTTTCTCATTATTGTGCTTCAGCTCTACTTCAGGAATGTTCAAGATAATCCGGCCAGCCGTTGGGGAGTCATTGAGGTTGCAAAATAATATGATATATGTATATTTAGTTTTTTTCCAAGATTTCTTTACTAACTTGGCTTACCTTTGGCAGGGAGTGGCCTTTAGCCGAGCTGAAAAACAAGTACAGAAAAATGAGTTCTTTGGAGAAGGCTCGAAGCAGTTGGGAAGATGAATATGAAGTATCTTCTAAACAGGTAATGACAAATTATTCATTTATGTTAATACAATGGGCCACAGGCATAAGTCTATACAATAAGGTCCTCCCAGACATTGACAAATAGGATTGGTTTTCTCGAAGAATTTGGAGGATGTGCATTTCTAACTGAAGTTTGACATTTGTGGTCCGAGCACTATTATGTGCATGTGTGATGCATTTACAGTGTCTCTGTGCTATTGGATCTTTTGAGAAATTTACTGATCCTTATTTTTGTCAATATAATGTGTATCGATCTGAAGAGTTACATGAATCTGCTTAACATGTTTAGTAGGCAATGGCATTCTGGTTAGATTAATTTTCTGTTTATAGAAGTTCTGCTTGCCTTGTAATGGTACTATGTGGTCAATTTCTGCTAGGTTGCAATGTATGCATGCTCGCCCTCAATATTTAACGGAGCCGTTCTATTTCTTGGAAAACAGTGCCTTTTACTCCTTTTTGTCAGTCCATCTATCTTGACTTCTGATCTGGGTGCTTAGCCATGCTGATAAGTTCACAGAATGACTTAATGAGGAATTTACGGCTCTTTTGGGCATACTTTATGACTTGTGAGTTTCCTGACCTGTGGCAGTATAACAGCTATTAGGTGCATAGGACCATTTGGAAAATTTTTGGTGAGCTGTTAGTGGCCAGGACACCAACTCACATAAAGTAAAACTGCAATTTATGAAGGGGTGACACAGTTGCTAGATCTGGATTGTCTCCCCGCTGTTAAGCCTCTCTTCTTTTCTATCATTTGCTGCAAGGAGCTGCATAGAAGCTTGGTTATCTACACTTTCCTTTTCCTGTCAATAACTTTGTGGATACCTTTCTTTTATATCCTTATGAGGAGAAATCCATTCTTGCTTGCTAATTATGCAAGTCCCTGTCCCACTGGTCACTGGTCATTCTTTCTTTGGATTTGTATGATCCAGAAGTGCATTTTCTTGTTATTTTGTCCAATCATTCATCTTGCTGATGGTTCATTAGAATGCTGTTTTTTAATTGGTGTTAATTATGATTGCAGTGCATGCATGGCCCCAACTGTAAAATCGGCACTTATTGCACTGTTGGGAGGAGACTACAGGAAGTAAATGTCCTGGGCGGCCTCATTCTTCCTGTCTGGGGCACTATCGAGAAGGCCCTTGCTAAGCAGGTCGGTTGCCCTGCTGCTACATTTATTTCTCACTATTTCTTCCCCAACCAAGAGTTTGGTGGTCTAGGAGCACAGTTTTTGGGGCATGCTTTTCATTAAGGAATTACCGTGCAACGTCTCCAGATGACGCCAACAATGCATAACTGCATATGTATAGAAAAAAGTAATGCATAATTGCAGTGGGGCCAGCATAAATTTTACTTAGCAGGTTTTAAGTAGTGGTTGCATAATCTGGTGACTCCCTAAATTTTGGTATTATCTTGCTTGAGACCAAGGGCTGGGATAGTTAATGCTAGAACTATACTACAATTTATATGTTGCACTTTCAGGAGCTGTATTTAGGCATATTCATTGAAATCTTCCATGCGTTAATATGCCTCGTGAGCTTTCTGTTTTGCTTGTAAATATCAATGACTTGCCAAATTTTGTGCATTTGATTGCGATTGGAGCAGCCTCTAAGAGGGGTTTTTCCCGATTATATTGATTATGGGGGTGATGTTGATGGAACTGCTGTATGTTGGCCCCTCAGTGCTTAGCTTTTAATGCCATAGAGAGAGTGCAACCCTCTAATCGAATTTCTTTCATTTGATTTGACAAGCTTTTGTTCATTATAATTCCTTTTGGAACAAGCACATCTCATTATGCATATTGAACGATACTCATCTCTTTGGTAGTGGGACTTATCACTAGGGTTATGTCTCGTTGGAAGTGCTGAAACCTCAATTTACATGTTTGCAGGCTCGGCAAAGTCATAAGCGCCTCCGTGTTGTGCACATTGAAACTACTACTGACAGACAGCGTATTGTGGGGCTTTTTGTACCAAATTCGGCCATTGAATCTGTCCTTCAAGGTTGCTTTGCTCTCTCTCTCTCTCTCTCTCTCTCTCTGTCTCCATGTGCTTGTGCATAGCCATCTTTTGTCGTCTTGTTTCCTGGTTTGGATGCTAAACCTTTATTGCTTTGATTGCTGGGACGTGTTTCCCTTTTGTTTACCACCGGATAGTGTAATTGGTACTTAAAAACATGTTTGTTGCAGGTTTGGCATGGGTTCAGGATATAGATGATTGAGATGGCAGTTCAGCATTTTCATGAGTAAATAGATTTGACAGCCGAGTTAAATGGATCCGTCAGGACACCGCAACCTTATTTTAACAGAGTTACGGTATGGGGGGCAACCTTCAATTTGTGGGATATGTAGGCTAACTTTCCTTTGGGGGAAAGTATGCTCTTCCACATGATATTGCAATTTTCTTGATGTATATTTTTGCTCCATTTTTGGGCGCTAATTTTGTATACGAAGGTCTTGTCAAGAAAGGGAAGGAGATGGTTTACTTGATATAGTGGTGAATGAATGTCTCGCGAACTATGTTGTATCAGTCGTCATAGGGACTCACATGAACGGTGCAGGTATGTAAATCTTCACTCCGTTTAAAGTCGTTTACTTTCTCCGTGAAGTTGATTAAACTGAAGTTAAAAAAAATACATAACAACCACTACCCCACGCTCTTCCGAGAATTCAAACCGGAGCTTTTTCCGATTGGCATACGAATGAACATGCTGCGGTAACTTTTTTGGTCTTTTCGGTCTTGCTGTACGCATTCTTGAAATTGTGTCACATCGGCAAACTGGTTCCTACCTACTGTTGTGTGTAATCTGTGATTATCTGTCATTGTCATTTTTGTTTTGAGCTAATGTCAACATATCGTGCCCGTTTAAATGGATTTGAATCAGCGGCCTAGCTTATGGGCATGAGTTGGCTTTTACTTAAATCCATAGATAATTTACAGCATTTAATCTATTATTGAAATAAAATTGGCCCAATTTCCTTTAAAAAGGACTAACTTTAGGTCGGGTTTTGATTTAGGTTTGAATATATATATTATATATATATATATATATATATATATATATATATTTTTTTTGTCTTATAAAAAACATCAACTTTCAATAGGTATTCACTCAAGTTTCTGTGCCGTAAAAGATAGACGTGTCATTCAACATGCATCTCTATCTCTCTCCCGCCGTGTGTCATTCCACGTCGTCTTCATTGTTGTCTCTGTTTTTTCTTTCCCTTCTTAATCCTTGATTCGACCCCAGAGAACTCCTTCGTCGCGAAAAAAAAGCATGCATGATAGATCAAAACCTCATAATCTGAAACTCAATAAGCAAAAAGTCAACTTGTCAACACATGCCGAACTTAGAGCTTCTACAGGAGAGATCCTTTTGAGCGGCGAAGCTCAAGGCTGCCGTGGTTGTTCAAGCTTTAGGTCAGGAACCTTGCGGCAGTCATGGCCGTGAGATCGAGGCCATCGTGGTCGCTCAAGATTCGAGCTCACAGCCACAAGTGCACAATGGTTGCTTGAATTTTGATCCATGAAGCTCAAGGCTACGACCGCTCAATCTTCAAGCTCACAGCAGCCATGCTGCTCAACTTGAGCTCGCAGTTATATCTGTTCGATTGATGGTTGTGAGATACGACTTTGAGCTCTTTGTTATGGTTGCTCTAGCTTGTAGCTCATGGCAGCCATGGTTGCTCGATTTGAGCTTGCAGCAAGCCATGGCTGCCTGAGTTTCGTGCTCAATGCCTGAGCAGCCATGGACGCCGTGAGCTTAAAGCTAGCGCAGTCATGGCGACCTTGAGCTTCACTAATTTGATGATTTTGCAACCCTGGCCATGAGCACGAATCGTCATGGCTCCACACGTATGAGCTTGAACAGCCATGGCTGCCACAATGAATAAGATGAAAGGCAAAAAGGAAATGAAAAACGGAGAAGAAAAAAGATGACGTGAAATGACACGTGACGGGAGAGAGGAAACTTAATGGGGCAAAATTTGGTACTTACTGAAAATTAGTGTTTTTTTTTAATGAAACAAAGAAAAGCTGTTACTAACCGAAAATTGGTATTTTTTTATGAGACAAAGAAAATTTGGGCTTGAATTGAGACTAGACCTATAGTTGGTACTTTTCAAGGAAAATGAGCGTCAACAAGCATGCGGCCCTATTGATAAATGGATCGAGGGGTGGGGCCAAAAAGTACCAGATTCGGAGTTTGATTTTCGTAAATATCGCACACACATGTATATAGAAAAGAGGAATGAGACAAAAAAACAAAAAGGAAGCAAATATGAATATATGAAAAGTTAGTTTAATGTGCATATAGGAGCTTCTCACGTGCAGAAGTTTTGAACTATAGTGTTACAGACGATTATTATGACTAGCATCGGAATTTTCAAAATACTCTTCTAGTTAGAATTACATGGAGTGATAGCGAAAATCACCTTTAATACCCAATCATGAATGTAATTCCCTGTATGTATTACCGAGATATTAATAGTTTATTGTAGCAATTTTGTTTATTATTTAACAAATAATTTATGAATGTGATTACATCTTCTTAATCAAATAACGTTTGATTAGATCAAAAGGATTATCACTTTATTATAAAAGTATGATTATATAATTATATAAGCATTAACAAAACAACTAATTAGGTATTACTCACTATCATAATTAATAGTGAGTCATTGGCTTTATCAGGATGTTATATAGCAATTCGTTTGTGATTATGATTAACCACTACATTTATCTTGTAAGTAATTTAAATTACAGCAAACATAATCTAACATCGGTTTAATTAGTGGGAGTCTAGAGACAGGGAACTATAGCTATGAAAGGTATTACTAATAGGGGAGTCAGGTCAGCAAAAAAACGCAACAATCATTTCCGTAGGACGAAACGAAAGATCTCGCGAGTCTTCCTGCGCGAACTGTGAGCAAACAGCATATGCTTAAAGCATTTCATGACAAGGTGCCAATCCTGATGTAAGATCTAATCCATGACAACTTCAGAGGGTTGCAAGACCTTCCCACGTTGAGCGAGGCACCTAAAACTTGTTACATAAGCGACTGCCGACTGGTGTGGTCAGTCACCACATCAATTTAATCCCAAAGGAAGGGCGTTTAGTTAGTTACATGTACGGGATTGCCTTGGAAACGATGAAAAGGAGCTAAGGAACCAAATTGTACCATTGGGACTTAAGCTAACAGCCCAGCATTCCATTCATTCAAACTTCAATGACACCTAGTTTGTGAGTATGTACGCAAGAAGAAGACACTAGATCACCAAGCGATGAAGACAGCTTACTGGCATCACACACAGACATGCTTTCTGCTAAGCGCTCAGTTTAAGATTTTAAGCTTTGCAGCAAACAAAGCGGCCGAATCCTTTAGGGGGATGATGGGTATTGCCGTCTCCGGATATCTCCACAGCCTTGTGCTTCAGCTGCTGCTGCTTCTTCTTGTGCACATCTTTGGGCACGGTCAGAGTAAGCACGCCGTCCCGCATCGATGCCTTGATCTCTTCAACTCTAGCATTGTCCGGTAGACGGAACTGGCGGTAGACACGGGAGGCACTCGCCCGCTCTCGGCAGTGCCATTTGCAGCCTTTCTCCACGGCTTCGGCATCCTCTTTCCTCTCCCCGCTTATTAGGACGGCTCTTCCATCAACAAGTTGTAGCTTCACGTCCTCCTTGGAGAAGCCGGGAAGATCCACGAGGAAGACGTGCGCGTCGGGAGTTTCCTTCCAGTCCACTTGGGGTTGGGGGTCTGATGGTGAGTTATAAGCGATCAGACCTGTAAAGGGATGATCAAAGAAATCGGAGGGAAGCGTCGACATGATGTAGGATCGGAGGCGGTTGTGATGTGGGGAAGCAAGCCAAGTATGTAGCTGTATGCTGTGTTGAACACTAAGTCGAGAGGGAGGTGGTAGTTATAGAAGAGGGGGAGACAAGCGGTGGCTTCCTGAAGGACCTGGAGTGCAGTTGAATTCTGGCTTGTGGAAGTCAAATGCAGGAGAAGGGTCTGGGAGAAACTAGAAGTTTAGTCTTTGTCGTGCGGTGCTGTGCCTGTGGGGACCTTCACTTTCTTTTGATCTAATCCATCGTACAAAGGGTTACATCCGAGATTAGAATTAGAATGTCCGGGTTCTTTTAGTCAAAACAAAGGTCTTTGACTATCTCGAATCTGGCATTCATATTATGCACGAGATGGTAATTCATACATGATTCATCGACCACTCGTCACACATTTACCTCCAATCACGCCCTTCACTTTTGCTGCAATGAAGAATGGGATCATGAATACAAGTAGAAAAAGAAATACCTGTATCTCATTTAGAATGAGCAAAAGGATGAAAATACCTATACTAATGAATATGATAAAAGCTGCGAAATGAAGTGCCACTTGAGTCTATATATACACGAGAGGCCAAAAATAAGGATGCTCCATAAAAAGAAGAAGAAAAGCTACAAAAAAACCTAAATTATGCCAATTATGACGCATTTACCCCAACCAAGTGATTCACTTCCGCGGCAACGCACTTGCGACAACATGAAATGAAGGCTCCGTTTGTATCACAGAAAACAACTTCTAGAAAAATGTTTTTTGAATTTTTCGATATTCGTTTCACGGAAAATAAACTAGGAAAACATTTTCTACCAATGGAAAAAACACCTTCAAAAGTGAAGAAAATTTTTCTGCTTTTTAGAAAACGAAAAACATTTTCCATATCTTCTTCCACCTTATTTTCTTTCAAATAACACATTTTCCTTTTATTTTTTATTTTATTTTTTTTATTTTAAAAAAATCAAATTTTTAATTATTTTAAAATTTTTCCTTTCTTTATTTTTTTTACTTCTTCCTCGGCCTGCCACGATGATGGCCGACGGCCAACGACTAGCCACAGGCAAGCTCGAGCCTTGCCATAGGTTGTCGAGGCTCCGCCTCACTCGAGTTTAGTGAGCTTAGGCCTCCCTAGATCCGGCGAGCTGGGTGAGGCTTGAGGTCGCCAAAGCCTCACCAACATCAAGCGAGGCTCGAGCTCGTTTGTGGCTGTCAATCGGCCAAGGAAGAAGAAAAAAAAAAGTAAAGGAAAAAAAAGAAAAAGAAAAGGAATTTAAAAATAAAAAATAATTAAATTTTTCGAATTTTTTGGTAATTTTTTATCAGATATCGAACGGTGGAAAATATTTTCTGGTTTATTTTTCAGGTTTCAACCGAACATTGGAAAATATTGTCATTTTCTTAAAAAATAGCTTCAAAAAACGTCACATTTTCGATTAAATGAAATGAGCAGAAGAATGGCATCATGAATACAAGTGACAAAGGAAATGTTTGTATCTCATTTACAAAGAGCAAAAAGATGAAGATACCTATGTGATATAATAAACTCTACTGAATGAAATGCCAGTTGAGTATGTACATGAGAGTCCAAATATATGGATACTCCGTAAAGAGAAGGAAAATAGTTACCAAAAACCCTAAATTACGCTCACTATAACACATTTACCCCCAACTTGGCATTTATATATATATATATATATATATATGTATATTAAGGCTCCGTCCATTTCGCGGAAAATGCAACGTGTTTGGAAAATGTTTTCTGGAAAGTCATTTTCCAGAAAAATGACAATATTTTCTAGTTCCTGTTTGAAACGGTCTGGGTACGAGTTCCATTTTTTGGGAACCGGTTCGATTCCCGTTTCCAAGGGAAGATCCACTCGGAAACCGGACCGGTTTTGGAACCAATTTTTAGCTAGTGTTAAAAATATACTATTACTATATTTTGGGTTATTGTTTTTGATGGATAGTAATTTCAATTGCTCATCATAGGGATTCTTGCTTTTGGCGGATAGTAATTATTATTATTCATTTTTACTTTGAATCGTTTCATGACTACTCATATTATTTTGCTGGAAAAATGAAATTAGAAAAAAAGGAACAAAAGAAAAAACAGGTTCTCAGGTAGACACTGGAACCAGATTGAAAAAATAGGATAGGTTCCAAAACAGGTTCGAGGGTAAGCAGGTAGGTTCTTGATTCCAAAAATTGGAAAGTGATTATAACAAGGTAGGTTCCAGCCCAGAACCTGTTTACCCTAAAACTGATCACCCCTAATTCATACATGATTCATCTCCTACTCGTCACACATTTACCATAATCACGTCCTTTACTTCTGCTGCAGCACAACTGTGATAACATGAAATGAAGAATGGGATCACGGATACAAGTGGGAAAAGGAAATGTCTTTATCTCGTTTGGAAAGAGCAGGAAGATGAAGATACTCGGGAATATGATAAACTCCGTGGAATGAAATATCACTTGAATCTATACATGAGAGTCCAAATATAAAAATACTCCATAAAAAGAAGGAAAAAAGCTACCAAAAAATCTAAACTACGCCAACTGTAACCATTTATCCCAAGCTTGGTATTCATATTCATACATCATCTCCTACTGGTTAACTGGTTCCTCCTTTCCGCGCTTCATTTTTAGTCGTAGCCAACTCAAAAGCCCATAATGAAATAGGGCTTCCCAGTCCCAGTCCCTGAAAAGCCCGGGCGCTTCAAATTCCTCTCCTTTCTCCTCCTTTCTCCTTCAAAAAGAGATGCACCCAGCTGCTGCTGCTGCTGCTGCTGCTTCCGAATCCAATTGATCTCGCACTGCTGCTCCGACTCCGACGACGAGGATGCCCCTGTTCCTCACCGACGACGAGTTCTCTCGCTGCTCCCACGATGCCGGTCTCGTCGCCGAGAAGGCCGACGCCTTCATCCGCAACCTCCAGAGGGAGCTCGACTCCTTCAAGGCCCACCTCGACGCCTCCTCCATCACCGCCGAGCAGACCTGCTCCCTCCTCGAGCAGAAGTACCTCTCCCTCTCCTCCGACTTCTCCCACCTCCAGTCCCACTCCCTCCACCTCCAGTCCTCCCTCGATCAGCGCCTCTCCGACCTCGCCGACCTCCAGTCTCAGAAGCACCACCTCCACCTCCAATGCGTAATCCCCCCTCTTCCCCTCTTCTTCCCCCCACCCCTTCCCGTTGCTCTTGATTCTCCCCCCCTTCCTCCTCTTTTTCCTTATTTTGTGGTTCCCCGACCGATCGTTTTGTCTGCAGATGGAGAAGGATGGCCAGATTGAGAGGCTGGCCACCGAGGTTTCCGAGCTTCACAAGTCGAAGAGGCAGCTCATGGAGTTGGTGGAGCACAAGGGCCTCGAGCTTTCCGAGAAGAACGCCACCATCAAGTCTTATCTCGATAAGATCGTATATACCTTCTCTCCCTCCCTCCCTCCCTTTCCTCCCTCCCTATTATAATCCCTCGAGCACGATCATTCTTAACACGTTCATTTCTCCCCGTAATCATTGTATTGTTTGGAGTAGGCTGGGATATGCCATTGTTTTATCGCATTTTCTCTCTTCAGAATTCGCTCCACAGTTTAGTGACCGCAGGCAATGACAAGTACTAAAGATGTAGTTCCTTTTCATGTAGCTGTCCCAAACGTATCTTGGACAAATGTAAAACTTCTTTGAAAGGATGGTTGCTTTGTTCTCTTACGTGATACCCTTTCGCAGGTAAGCTTGACAGAGAATGCTTCTCAGAGAGAGGCACGTCTCGGTGAAATTGAAGCAGAATTAACAAGAAGCAAGGCTACCTGTTCTCGGCTCTCTCAGGTTACTTATTTGCTCCTTCTCTGTTTTAGACGTTCTTTAGACTTCTTTCTCTGTCTCCTACGTTGATTGTATTTGTATGACTCTATTGCTGGTTGGCGTGTAGAAGTTTTAGGATATGTGCAGACCTCAGTGACGTTGGAAGACGTAACCTACTTTTAATTTATCATCATAAATGAATAAATCTTTCAATTTTTTGGCTTTCCTAGTAGCTCTATTGGTTTTTCTCTTGTTACAGTGACTTTTTTTCTGCCTCCGCTCTTTCGATTGTCGAAGAGAGGTCGATGCTCTCCCTCCTAATTTCCCCCCCTCGGGATCAATAACGTGTTATTCCCGAGCTAGTCAATTGAAGCAAAGCTGACACTGCATATCTCAAGTCCAAGTTACGTATTTAGCCATCAGAAGGGCGCAATGCTTGCGCAGATCTGTGTAGACGTATTGTAGGATGTGACTAATCTTGATTCAGTCTATATTGTCACTTGGAATTATATCTATGATCTTTAATCCTCTGTTCATTTTGCTTTCTCAATATGATGTCTTGGTTCGATGCTAGAGATACTGGTTTTAATGCTATGAATTTGTATCTTAGGAAAAAGAACTGATTGAGCGACATAATGTGTGGCTTAATGATGAGTTGAATGCCAAAGTTGACAGTGCCACTGAGTCGCGTAGAGTCAATGCTGATCTTGAAGCAGATATGTCTGCTAAGCTTGCAGATGTAAGTGTTTAAACTTGCAAGAACTTGTCTTGATCCTAGTTGGTATACTTTCACTGTAGAATTCTACTTGACCCTTTTGTCCTTTGCAGGTAGATAGACAGTTAGCTGATTCCTCTACATCTTTAAATTGGAACAAGGAAAGAGTGAGGGAGCTAGAAACGAAACTAGTAGCCGTGCAGGAGGTATGATGATGTTAGCTATTTTTGTTGCTATTGTATTTGATTTCCAGGTTGCACTTGCAAACAAGTTATGATAATGGTTTGTTCAATTGAAAAGGAGCTTTGCTCGACTAAAGATTCTGCAGCAGCCAATGAGGATCGATTTCAAGCAGAAATCTCTACTGTAAGTGATAAAAAAATTATTTGCCTCTGTAACATGAACTTAATTATTCCAGATTGGCTAAGATTGATAATCTTGCAAATGTAAATAAGCAAACTCTTGACGGTGAAGGAATATTGCACAGTCGATTAGAAGTTTAGCAATTCCGTTTTATCAAACTTTGTATTACTTGGGAAAGAAGTAGATTATTCCGTTGTTGGCAAAGAAATTTCAGGGGCTTTGGCCTCTATTGTGTGCAGGGGGTCTTTGATGATTCCAATGATAGAAGTCTTTTGTGCTTAAGCATCGGGTTAAATGTGGAGCCTTGTAGGTTTTTATCCTTGGTTCGGAATATTCTCTTTTTTGTAGGTCATATCTCTAGATTAAAGATGCGTGTCATTCTTTGAGGTTCGCAACTTAAAAGTCTCTGTCGCAAGTCAATTTCAATCACTTCACAACTCTAGGTGCTCTTCTTTGTCTCCGTGCTTTCAATCCATCGTTGGAACCATGTCTACAAAATGCCAGGAGCACAAGTTCTATTCCTAATACTACTCTGATCATTTTGAGAAGTTTCTATAATGCGTATCATGAAACTCTTCTTTTTTCTTCTTAAATACTTTGCATGGAACCTTTCATGCTTGTTGCTAACAAACGCTTCTTATGTGTCTCTCCTTGTGTAGGTAAATCGACTTGTTGAATTGTATAAAGAAAGTAGCGATGAATGGTCCAGAAAGGCGGGCGAGCTTGAGGGTGTTATTAAAGCTTTAGAAGTGAGGTTTTGGCGAATACCTAATGTTTCGAAACTTTGATTGTCCATTTTGTAATTTCCTTTTTCCCCAACATTGACAGACACATTTAACTCAAGTGGAAAATAACTACAAAGAAAAACTTGAAGAGGAGTTATCCACCAGAAGGCAACTAGAGAAGGTGTTCTATTCTCTCTCTTCTTTTTAAGAGCAGCTTAATTTGATTATCGTTCCTTATATCTGGTAGTCATTAGCGAATTTAAAGAAATTTGTGTAGACGTACTTGTTTTATTTGAGGTTGTAGAACTTTGACCATGGATGAAAATATGTCAGTGGTAATTAATAATTTCTTATCTTTTGATTGAATCAACCCCTAGTAATATTTTCGTGTGTTTGCTGCCATTTGTGAGCTTTAATAATCACTATGCATTTGGGTATATCGATCATTTAGTTTGTGAGGTGGCAACCCTATTTAACTTATCTTGGCAATTATAGTACTGCAGCAAACGTTGGGGTCATAATCAAATTATCCATAATAGTTAGTCATTTCATTGTGGTATTTATTGACTTTCTTTCCTTTCACTCTTTTGTATAGGAAGCTGAAGATCTAAAGGCAAAACTGGAAAAATGTGAAGCTGAAATGGAATCTCAGAGGAAAGATAATGAGTCAAATCTTCTTCCTCTTAGTAGTTTCAGTTTAGAAAGGTGTGGCGCCGCGTCTATGGGGTCTTTTTGTTTGTTGTACCATCACATAACTTATCATAATTGCATGTTTTCCACTGTCATGATCTGTACATTCACCGTTGAGTATTGAGATCCCCGCTGGAAAGTCTTATCTCATCTTCCAGACTATTTAAACTATCTTTTATACTTCCAAATTATATTTTACAGTTATTTTATGGGATCTCTGAACTTTTTCTGACATGGATTGTTCTGAGAGCTAGGATTCTGGATGGGTTTTTATAGAAACCTTTTGCTGTGATCTATTTCTATGTTTGCTTGATGCCCTTTGCTTTCATTGAATTGTTAATATCGTTAGCCATCACTTCATGTTATTTCATCAATTTATATGCTTCTAGTGTAGGTTCGTAAAACATGGCTTATGCTTATATTCTGTTATGCAGTTGGAAGGGTTCGTCTGGTCCTAATGACATGGTTCAGGATGATCTCGCAATTGTCCCTAGGGTACCAATGGGTGTATCAGGGACAGCATTAGCTGCTTCCCTTCTGCGTGATGGTTGGAGTGTAAGTTTCTCTATCTGAATTTTCTTAAAAATGTATGCCTTTATCTGCAAAAGCTTTCTTATTTATGTGCTTCGTATAGCTTGCAAAGATGTACGCGAAGTACCAAGAGGCAGTTGATGCATTGAGACATGAGCAGATGGGAAGAAAAGAAGCTGAAGCTGTGTTACAAAGGGTAGGCTTGCATCGTCACTTGACTTGAAAAATGTCCCTGAAATATATCATGACATGTCTTTCCTCGTTGACTCGGTTAATAATCAGTTCCTTAAAATCACTTATGATGTTCAATGTATAGCGAAGGACATAATGAATTGGTTTGATGCGTAAGGCAGCTTACTTTGTGCAATCGATAAAGGATCATGCGGTTTGTATCGAGAAAACTGCTTGCTGTGCATGCAGTGCTACATTTACATTTCTGTCGGCTTGCATGACTTCTTGATGTGTTCAATGGATATGACAAGGAGGGTTTTGCTTTGCTCTCACTGTTTCAGGTTTTATATGAACTAGAGGAGAAAGCTGAAGCTATTTTGGATGAAAGAGGTTTGTGCTAATAGTTGAAAGTAATTTTCCATTATGCACTGTCTTTCTTGTCTTTGGTTTACTTCTATTGAATTTCTGTATTGGTTTGTTTTTTTCAAATGTCTTATATTGACATTCATCTCACAATTGTGAAAGATTAGTGTCTCCTTCCTTTAACATCTCTAAAAGAAAAATGGTTATTAAATTCAAAGGAGTGAGATATATTTAGAAGTTTCAACAAAATTGTATCATAAATATGCTTTGGAATAATGGTATTAGTTGAACAACAAATTGAAAATATAGTAAAATCTCCAGAATGCCAATAGATGATTGAAAATCTTATTAGTGTTTTGATGCATCCTGTTGGATAAACTGAATGTTGATAGGTATTGTCTTGATCGCTTTGCAAAATTCATCAAAATTGCCTTTTTTTTTTCCTTCGATGAGTCTAAACAAATACCCATTTATCTTATTTTTTTTTTAAATGAGCAACATCTGTGATGAAAATTAACAACATGAAGTCTTAGTTCTTATTACCAAATGTAGCTAGGTTCAGCAGATGTTAATCTCTTATTTATGTATCTCATCTTTCTTGGTGAAATAACATTTTCCTTCATAACGTTGTTGAAATAAGAGGTAAATTTCTTTTGTTGAATTTCGATTCATTTCTATCATTTTATGATATTCATTTGTTTTTAAATATTTGCTAACTAAAGCATACTATATTGGAGAATTTCTTCAAGACCTATTTAATCCATATAATACTGGAATTTCTTCAAAAGCTCATTCAAAAACTTACTGTAATCCTTATTCCGAACATTGGTCTTGCCAATTGTAAAGTAATAGAAATTATCTAATTAACTATAAAGTAATAGGAGTAATCTCTTATAATTCATTTAATTATAGGTGAATAATATGAAATTCAAAAGTAACAGGCCTTAATTTTGTTTTACGTGCTTGTTTGTTGACATGTAATTTTGAAATATAAATATGATAAATTGTGCAATATATTAAAAGTATAATTCTTCTTTTATAAACATATGTAACTATGGTTTTTATATTTGCAAACTTTAATTTTTTTATATTCATTTATTTTTAAAAATGACTTGTAGGATCTTCTAATATCATTTGTTCATCAAATATGAGCTATCATGTTATATACAATACTTTTTATGGTCGTCTAACATCATTTTTTGTTAAAAACTTTCTTTACATTGTATATCTATAATTATTAAACTCTTCCAAAATATTTGAATTGCAAGATGATAACTCTAATAATGTGTTTTACCGTAAGGGTAAGGGTATGCGTACGACTAGTTATGTTTCAGTCATATGTAGTAATGGGTTCTTTTATTTAATAAGTATTTTATAAATTTTGTAATATTCATTAATCTGCAAGAGATGGTCTTTGATGATTTTTTTATTGATCTTCTAATGCCATATATTATAGGTATCATGCCATATAACGTTTTTAATGATCCTTTAACATCATACATCGATGAAATATGTAGTATCATGTCGTAAGTGATTTTTTTCTTCAATAAGATTTTTGTGTTAATGGGTGATTTATTTTTAATTTGCTAATGTTCATATTATAGAATATGCACAATCAATCTTATTTTTACATAGATGTTTCAATATAAGGTCTATGTATTTATATTCATAAGCAATTATTTTACAAAGTTTACTACCCAATTGTGTGCGATCATGGAATATTTTATCATGGATTACAACTTTTTTTATCTAAATATATATAGATATTGTAAAAGAGAATCTACATATCCATAACAATATATGCATAAGTATTAAAATAAAGTCTCTGTATACATAAACATTAGATGCACAAGAATTATAGATTTGCTGAATTGACCATCAAAAACAAATTGCTGGGTAAAGCTCACATATCAGCGTGCCACGTGGCTAAACTCTCATCAGCTTTCTTCTTAAGTAGTACTCCTGTCTTGCAGCTGAACATGAGAGGATGGTTGAGGCGTACTCCATGATCAACCAAAGGTTACAGCAGGCTACGTCTGAACAGTTGAACCTAGAGAGAGCTATTGGGGAGTTAAAGGTTAGCAGTTTAACATGCTTGCTAGGATGTCTGCAGTTCATTTAATGCTGGTGATCATGTGTCATTCTCAGGCTGATCTGAAGAAGCGTGAACGAGACTACGTGCTTGCTCAGCAGGAGGTTGTTGACCTTCAAAAGCAGGTATTTTGAAGAGCTTTTAGCTGGTGCTTTTAATTGCATTTTGTTCTCTACAGCTTTTTCCTGTTGAGAGGGAGGGAAGGAAAGGGCCAGGAAGGACAAAGAGGGTGTGTGTGTTTTACCTTTTTAACTTTCTTACAGGAAAGTGTTATCTGTTGTTTCTAAGGTACTGTTATTGTCCCTCAAAGACATCATTTATTTTACCTTGAAGTCATTTGGGACTAAGGCCTAGTCGAATATTGGAGTGCAAGAAAGTATCAGGTGTTGCATTTGTGGCTGAACATAGTGTGGTTGCAATAATTTAGCTCTCTCATAAATGCGTTTTCTGGATTATGTTATTAAATTTTCCAACTGTTGGTCCATATCTTAGATTTCAACTATGAGATTGGATGGGGTTGATTGAAGCATCTTTGTGTTTTGACCCTCTTTTCTTTTCTTTGCTTTCTTTTCTTTCTTTCTTTTTTTTTTTCCTTTAGGTTACAGTTCTTTTGAAGGAATGCCGTGATATACAATTACGTTATGGATCCAGTCTGCATGATTATTCTGATGATAAGGGAACAAATGGAGCAGTGGAGATGATTGCTGAATATGACACTGAGAAAGTTATTTCTGATCGGCTTGTGAGTTCCTTGGATTTTTTCACGTTCGACAAACTATTAAAGCAAGTATTAAGATTCTTCTTCAGAACTTCTGATGCCTTCTCCTTTGGTACATGATTGTTGACAGTTGACCTTCAAGGACATAAACGGATTGGTTGAGCAGAATGTTCAGCTTAGAACCCTTGTTCGCAGCCTGTCTGATCAGATAGAGAATAAAGAGTTGGAATTTAAGGTATCAATGTGGTGGTGATTGTTCCCTGTTCACCTCATTGATATTACGTGGTGATTACTTTATTAGCTTAGGAGTATCAATTTGTTGATTGTAGGAAAAGTTAGAAATGGAGCTCAAGAAGCAAACTGAGGAAGCTGCATCTAAGGTTGCTGCTGTTTTACGTAGAGCGGAGGAGCAAACTGTTATGATCGAGTCCTTGCACACCTCAGTATGTTCTTTGTTTAGGAATGTTGACATTATTGGTTTCTCTAGTGTGCTTTTCTCCTCCTCTGTGTATGAGGCATGTATGATTTACTGATCATGATCATTATCCATTTTGGGACAGGTTTCAATGTACAAAAGGCTATATGAAGAGGAGCATAAACTTAATTCTTCTAATGCCCACACTGCTGTTGCAGTTCCAGGTTGTTCTTCTTGTTGCTTTGCATGCAGAACCATCTGTTATGTGCCTTATTTGTTCAAAATATGCCTCGTTAAACTTGAAGTGTAGTTTGTCTACTTTTTGGGCAGCTATATGTGGAGACGGATTGGCATTGATAATGCGATAGTCCATTCTGACCTGTAGAACTTTTTAGTAGGATAAGCATGATAGTAATTTCCTAGATCCTTATGGTTTGCTTCTTTTTAAGCATTAGTGTAGTCCCTCCAGGGTCTCTTTATATCTGGAATTTTATTGGCAAACTATGTTCTTGCACTTGGTCTATGAGCAACAATTCATGATATCCGGGATTGAGAATTAAGTCATCTACATCTCTTTCAGTCAGAAACCTAAGTTATCAGCCCTCTCCACCAGATCTACCTCTAAGGGAGAGAGGGAAGGGGGAAAAGGAAGGGGAAGAGGGGGGGGGGGGGGGGAAGGTGGAGGGAGGGGTGCAGTTAGGTAGGGAGGGAGGGAGGGAATTTTGTTCAATTTCTGATTGTGCTTTTGTTTAATGAGTGATGCGAAACTTCTTTTGTTGAGAGGCCAAAATGGGTTAAATGAGAAAGCCTATAAATGGTTAAAGGAGGACGTAACTCTTGTGCCTTACTCGTATGTGAATTGTCAGTTTTGTTTTACTCAGTAATTGTGATTATCATTTATAAATTCATTGCTCCCTCTGTGGACACCGGCAGGTTTTGGGGCTTCTTTTTTGTATATATAAATTCTCTTATGTCTCTTCTTTTTCCTCTTTGCAATTGTAATGTAGGGTTCATTTCATTACCAGCGATATTCTTTTATCTGTTTGTTCCCTTTGTGGTCCTGCTCCATGCTTCTGTACATATGACTTTTTTATTGCAGAAGAGGGAAGGACGGGCTTCCAGTTGCTTATTGAGGGTTCTCAGGTATAACGGAGCTTGATGTTTTGATATCTAATTGTTGCATTTTCTCTATATTGCTTTATAATGTTCGGATGTCCAAACTATAGGAAGCCGCTAAAAAGGCACAAGAACATGCTGCGGAACGAGTGAGATGTCTTGAAGAAGAGTTGGCAAAGTCTAGGTAATCCTTTCTTTGGTTGCTGTTCCAAGCCAACTTTTTAGGAAAGGCTAGACTACTGTGGCTCTTTTCCCCCTATTCTTTTCGCAGTGTAACTTGGTTGAGGTGGATTGAGGTTGTTATTGTTGGATGAATATCGCCATGTGTTTGGGTTTGATGATTTGTTATATCTGCTAAGAGACACCATCCTTTCTGCTACCAGTTTCATTGTCCTACCTGAGTGCATGTTCATATTTTCAGGAGCAAGATTATATTATTGCAGTCAGAGCGGGACAAGATGGCCCTAGAAGCAGCTTTTATGAGGGAGAAACTTGATAGGCTGATGAATGAATTTGGACACAAGGTATCTGATATATGTCCTTCGAATTTTTGTTCCTATAAGTCTTTGTGCACATGATCTGAAGTTACTTATATTACCGTAGAGAGTTTTAATCAAATGACAAACTAGTTTCACGGTAGCTGCTCCCCCATGGGCAGGCATAGTTTATCCCTTTTGTATAGATCGTACTGTCTTACATAGTCCTTGTCTACAAATTATACCTAAGATCTAATTATTGTTTAATTTAGCTCTATGAAGACATGTACATGTATTAATCGTTCTCCTAGAAATGTGACCACCTTGAGGCATAAATATGACTTTTGCAGCATATTTATTATTTCTTAGTTTATGTGAAATGTACTTTTTGTAATCTAATATGCTAATGATGCAACAATTTTAGAGAGAGGAAATAAATGGAGTTCTAGCAAGAAATGTGGAGTTTTCCCAGTTGATAGTTGACTACCAGCGGAAGGTTCGTGAAAGTTCAGAGTCTTTGCATGCTGCTGAGGAGCTTACTCGGAAATTGAATATGGAGGTAAGGACAATGAAGTGGATAAACTGGATGCCTCTTCCATTTTCTTCTTTCCCTTGTCCTTGGTGCTGATGCTTTATATGTTACCTAAGGTTGCTGTTCTGAAGCAAGAAAAAGAAATATTGTCATCTGCTGAAAGGAGGGCTTGTGCTGAAGTTCAAAGTTTGTCAGAAAGAATTTATCGTCTCCAGGTAAAATGTCACACTTATTTGCACAATTTCAATGTCACAATTTGTGTTGGCTTAAAGAGATCTCCATTGAAGGTCATTTGCATAGATTGTCTACTGGCGACCTAGTCCCTTCTTATTATCTTTGATGATTACTCTAATTGGGTTTCTTGTTTCATGTAGTGCTCATCAGTTACCAACACTGCTATTTTTGTGAAGATTCTAATTTATTACAGCAGTTTTTGAATCCTCATTTTGACCATATTAATCGTTTTGATCAATAATGCATGGCATATCACCAGCAATTTATTGTAGACACCATATTTATCTCATACAGCACTTTGGAAATATCGCACTTTGTCATATCACTGCTGTACTTTGAATGTAACATTCTGGAGAACAACCGATAACTATTATGTACATGTCATTTCCTCGAAATAGAAATTAAATGAACATTTTTGGTTTGTTTTCTTCGAATATAGGCTACATTGGACACCATTCAGAGCACTGAGGAAGTCCGTGAGGTGCATTTCCCTATAATTAGCTCTTTACTTCTTATAGAGTGATGCTGCAGTGCTGTTTTCTAGTCTAACTTATACTCTGGGATTCTTAGGAAGCACGGACTGTGGAGAAGAAAAGGCAGGAGGAATATATCCAACATATTCAGGTTTTTCATGTCCTTGTCCTGCTTATATCTTAAGTGGTGCAACCTTTACTCCACAAATGAGTGTAATTTTTGTTGACTTTAGAAATAGTGGGAATGATCATGGTGTAGTTAAATTCCTGTAATGTGCTGCTTTTCCTGATTAGGGGTTGTAAGACTTGGAATTAGAGTGAGCTAGATGGATTGCCATGAAGAAAAAGTTGAGAACTCTCATATAAATCGTGTGGTGTCTTGGTGAACAACTTCGGAACTGCAGAAAAGGTTTATAAAAAGATTTGGTTTCAATTTTATCAGAGACCTACATATAAAAGGGTGCATTTGTTGAGTGTATGATAAGCATCATGCTAGCAGGACCATTGATAGGATGAAAGGTGCATGTAAATGGTCATGGTATTTGTAGATTTTGGATAATAAATTCATGCTTTCCTCATTGAAAATTTTGCTTTTGCCTGTTTGAAGAGAATAATTTCTCGTCCTTGAACGTTTGTGAAAATGTATTTTGATGATGAAGGGATTTGTATGCCTAAATTGAAGTTCTGTTATGGTCTCCTGATTTAGTCGCTTGAAACGCAACAGAAATGTTCTTAAACTGCTGCTGAAAACTGTACATTTGCAGAAGGAATGGGCTGAGGCTAAGAAGGAGCTACAAGAAGAACATGATAATGTTCGAAAGTTAATGCTTGATCGGGACCAGACTTTAAAAAATTCAATGAAACAAGTTGAAGAGATGGGAAAGGAGTTGGCCAGTGCCTTGCATGCTGTTGCAGCTGCCGAGACTAGGGCAGCTGTGGCCGAGGTACTTTGACATTTCCTTTCAGTATTATATTTCCTCTATGAGGTGCTATGTTCGCTATGTTTGGAAATAAAATTCACAAGTAATTTCCTTGCTGTTTTACAGGCTAAACTATCTGATCTGGAGAAAAGGGTTAGATCTTCAGATTCAAAGGTGCATTACGTTCCTGTCCCTGCTGAACATTATCATGATTGGTTGACTAGGATAATGACAGACTTGCTTTTCATATGAGTTTTTGTTTGTTTATTCTGGTGCCTATGTTCGTATAATCAATTAATTCTGGTGCTGATCGAATAAGATGGAGATCTTTCTGCTCTGAAGAGAAATGTTCCCCGCATGGTACAACTTTTGAACCCTCTCATTGATGCAGATTGTAGAGGTGGCTAATGCTGGTGGAAGTCTCTCTATTTCAACTAATGAGGTTAGCTTCCATTGGATTACGATGTAATTTCTTTGGATAAGCAAGGCAGCTTTGTGCTTTTACCATTTAACATGTATAGCAATATACTTGTGAACTGCATCCCTAACTTTAGCCTACATGGACATGAAATCAGAGACACTTATTGGTGGTCATTTTGCAAGTTAACTGGTTACTTGGAATAAAGGGCAAGATTATCAGATGGTCACATCGCTGGTTATTTGTTTTCTCAGGTTATTTCAGAACTGCAAATTGCAAAAGAAGAAATAGAGAAATTAAGAGAAGAAGCACAGGCAAACAAGGATCACATGCTACAGGTATCCATGTAGCACTTGAAAGGACATACTACTTCAGTTTCAATTTTGTTCGAGGACTTAAAAATGTTTTATGAGTTTGCAGTACAAAAGCATAGCACAAGTCAACGAATCAGCATTGAAGCAGATGGAATGCGCTCATGAAAACTTCAAAACAGAGGTAGCTTCGCTAGTCTGTTTGAACATGTTTATACCTATACTGACACGTTCTTGTATGCATTTTGTTCCTTAAATATTCTGTAGGCAGAGAGACTAAAGCAATCTTTGGAAGCTGAAGTAGTTTCACTAAGAGAGAGGCTTTCTCAAATGGAAACTGAAGTCAACAATAAATCACAGCAAGTGGCTTCTATCAATGTTGAGAAGGAAGAGGCCCTTGCATCTGTGCTAGCAGAAATTACTAGTTTGAAAGAAGAAAGCACACTTAAAAGGTGAGTATTTTTTTCCTTAGTAACATGAAACATTTAATGTTTTTCTTTTCTTTTGCAGGACTGAGCTCAGTTCAAAATCTCCCTTTTGTTTTGTATATCTGTAAAGAACTAATTTTAGTAGCCAATTGCATGATTAATTTGCAAGTCTGAATGCAATGCCCATGTTGCAGTTTTGAAGGTAGTGGTGACATTATGCAAGGGTGCTAGATGATGATCCGACAAGTTTAGTTATCTGTGTCTTGTGTGAATAAATGTGGAATTTCTTTTCTCAAATACCACTTTTTTGTGCAGTTCCGTAGTTGACACATTGGAAACAAAGATTTCTCTGTTGGAAGATAAGTGGAAGCATGAGCATGAACGCTGGCGTTCTGCTCAGTCTAACTACGAACGACAGGTACTTCAATGACATAATTTAAGTTTTTGCCTGTCTGGTTCAATTTTAAGCTCCTCTAGATCTCTGTTTTGCTTTCTCACGAGAAATTACTGAAATCTAAGACGACATCAAATTTTAAGCTCCTCTAGTCATAAACGTTATAGAAATCTAAGATGACATCAAATGTTAAAATCTTCTTATTTTAATAATTTAAGGTATTGAATATTAAATAAGAGCCTAATATTTATAAAAAGGAAAAAGCTAAAAAAAAACCCATTTAGCCATCATTTTCGAACTGTATATTTCTGTCAAATCAAATGAAGTGGATAAGATTCTTGTAATAATTTCAGTAATTAAGCTTGGAAAAATTGGTTGAAATCTCTCTAATCCTGTTCAACAAAACTTAGTGTTTCCCCATCCCTGTCCCTAATCTTCTTGTCCTTGAGAGCTAAAAGAAACTTCACTTGATCAGACTATCTCAGGGTCTGTTCCGATTGACTTTCATTTTTTGACTTTTGATCTGGCGCTGGACGCTCTTTGACTTTTTTATTTATTTACCTTGAAACACTTGAAACTTTCACAATATTTTAAATTTGGCAGGAGGGCAAAAAGTACTTTTTACTTACACTTAATGCTAAAGAAACAAGCTTCAATTGTATTTGTTTATTATATCTTTTGGTATTGACGGTTTGTAGTTTTGTTGTTGCATCCTATATCATCAGATTTGGGATGTGATATGGTTCCAAAGGATGAACTGGATATGGACAGTTCCAATGATTTCATTCCTGAACAAAAATACATTTTTTGATTTATTTCACGTGTTCCATGACCAGAACGGAGGAGAGGCACATGTTATTAAATGGTTATTGAGATTATCTGCTCTGGGTTTTTAAACTTGGTGTGTCTAAGGCTAGATGTGAACTCTCTACCTTTGGCAGGTTATTCTGCAATCTGAGACAATTCAAGAGTTGACAAAAACGTCGGAAGCTTTGGCTTCATTGCAACAGGAGACAGATGGGTCACGCAGGCTGGCAAATTCCCAGAAAAGTGAGAATGTATGTACTTCATCTCAGCTTTAGTGCTGCTAAATTATTTTACTTGAATAGTTCATGTTGTAAGTGTGCCGTATAATATTTCTCATATTTTTTCTTACAATTGACAGTATGAGCATTAAGAGACTGCATGCTTTGTTGAAATGAAATAGAATACAGTGAAATTGTAAAATAAGAGATATTCATTGTTCCTAGAAAATAAATTACCAATGTTAAGTGTATCCCACATTGCTTGTCTATAAGGTTTCAATGAGCCTTATGTTCATGTGGTCTCCCTCCACTTATCAGTATAAGTTTTTGGGTTGGACATCTTAACATAGTATTAAAGCCTGGTTCAACCGTAGATTTATTTCGCGTGCGAGGCTTTCTGTTCGTCAATTCTGTGTATTGTTCTTTGTATGGTTTGCACGTGAAAGGAAGTATTAACTAGATGCTGCATTGCTTGTCTATTGTGTTTCATTGGGCTTTATATTCACGTTTGTTGGTGTGAACTTCTGCGTTGGACATTCTAACAACCATCACAATGTAAATGTCTCTCTGCCTCTCCATGCTGTGTGGGAAAGAGTTTTTGAGCAACAGATGAGGCGAAAGGATCATATTCTGGAGAATCAGTTTGGATTTGGCCAGGAAAGTTAACTTGTCACATCATTTATCTGTTGAAGAGGTCTATGGCTGAAAAGAAAATTCATTGAAAAGTTTGATGGAGATATTTTTTGATAGTTTAGAGGAGATATGTCTTTTAGGGAACCGGAGAAAGTGCATGAAAAAGTCCCGTGAGAAGTCAATTTGAGGGTATTGTGGAATAAAAAGGCCTTAAATTGCATCATTGTCAGCTGTAATGTACATGCATGATAGATGTGATAAGGACAGGATGAGGAGTTACAGGAGGGCTAGCTATAACAATATAGATCTATGTGAAGTTTTGGCTTTTCCTTAGACATATGAGTGTTTATCAGGCACATGCAAGTTGTATCTTGGTGTGCTTTCTACAGATGTTACAGTTTTCGTGTATCAGTTTGGATATGTTTGAATATGGTTTGGAATAATGAACCGAACCTTAGCTCTTTCAAATCAATAATAAGGATGGGAAGCATGGAATTCAAAAGGTTTGATTGAGAGAAAAAATGGCATCCTATTAAGTAGCAAATCGCCGTGGATTTTACTATTTGGGAATCATTTTCACAAAATCATGGGAATTTGATGGAGACTTGACTCATGTAATACGGGTGGGATTCATGAATCAAGAAGTGAATTTGGCATCTTCTACGGTTCACAACCAACCAAGATTAAGATGCTTTAGTGCAGGTGTGACAATGTCATAGAAGAGTAATGACAAGTATATCCAGGAAAAAATTTGAATGACCCCAATTGAAGAGAAGAGGATGAAACTCTACAAAGATGATTTAAATATGGATAGAGATGATCACTTGCTTCATGGAGGTGATGCAATTTTCGTTAGAGAGGCTGAATAGAAGTGGTACTTTGGCAAGAACCCTAAAGAAGTATCTTTGCTTTAGATCTTAGACAAGTTATTTGACTGTTCGCAATGGCGTAATTTGGTTCTTTGAATTTCTATTAGTTTGCTTATTCCCAAATAGATGGCCATCCATTATTGAAGCTCCTTGAACTGGAAGGTTTGCAGTGAAATAACACTTGCTTGGTTATTGTTTTTGTGAGTGAGCTGAAGTAGGAAGGAGAAGGAGCTTAAAGAAATTGTTGGTTGTGCTGTGGATTTGTAATTTGTTAGTGAAAATTTGATGTCAATGCCTCCCTAGTTATGGTAGATATGTTAATTTCTTGAATTTACACGGACCAGCAGTGCTGCATCCTAGGATTAGTTGACTTTTAGAGCTGAAAAATCTAGATCTTCTATTCAAGTTGCTTCAAATGTTTGATTATGTGGGACAAGCCCACGGAGGTAGACTGCGTTTTCGACAATATATCTGGGCCTCAAGATCTGCATAGGATTTGTAAAGTTCTTCCTTTATTGATTGGGAAGCTAGTTGGATACCAAGCTAACATCACTTTCACAAAGTGATGGAATGGGTTGCACATATATATATTTTTTTTGATAACCGAGGTATCCCACGTGCAATGGACTAGTCCTCGGGGTGGTGGGGTACAAGACCAATACATATATTTATTCTCAGTTAATGGAGAAATAAGCATGTCTAAAGATCGTAAAAAATAAACGCTCTCCAAGAAATTTGCATAATTGCTGCAGTGAATGCAAAAACAGCATTTGCCATGGGAAGGAGCATTGATTATAAAATCAAAGGTTTTACTATTCTACAGTTATCTGAGTAGTCTCAATTGAAGTTACACTCGTGATTGCTTATGGATCAACTGGTGAAATATTCTTTTAATTCCTTTCCTAGCAGCTTGGGAAAAAGGACCGGAAAAGCAAATATTCACAAGTTTTCATTTGTGGCATCGTATTTTCCTTTTATTTGAAATATGTTGACAATTCACAGAACTGTATTATTAAATCGGTGTTAGCAGCTATCAATGACTTTATTGGTGCTGAATTGCGTAGGATGAATTGAAGGCCAGGTGGGAAGCAGAGAAGTCAAGGCTAGTGGAATCCAAAGCAGAAGCTGAGAAAAAGTACAACGAATTGAATGAACAGGTCATTGTTTAACCTCATACTGTATTTGCTGTTTTACATGATTATGTTCTCTGGAATTATGCTAGTTTGAGAGCTATATCTGGAGAGCTTGTTAAAAGTGATTAACATAAGAACAGTTTTAGTTTAACATTGCCGATATCTGCATCTATCAGTCATTTCTATGTAATCTAATCTGTGATGTAGTATTTAAAGCATAACTCTGCTTAGCACCTTCATCTCCAATAAAAACAGTCCAAGTTGAATTTTACATATCTTATGCAGAATAAAATACTGCATGATAGACTTGGAGCTCTGCACATTCAACTAGCCGAGAGAGATCGTACTTCTGCTGGAATCTCTGTGGATGACGATGCTGGCTTGCAGAATGTGATTAATTATCTCCGACGGTCAAAGGAAATAGTAAGTGTCTCTCAGTCTCTCACCCACCAAAGTGTCCAGCCACACCACTTTCTAACTCAATCGAGAGGTTTATCTTGTACAGGCGGAAACAGAGATCTCTTTGTTAAAACAGGAAAAGTTGCGTTTACAATCACAAGTAAGTGATTACGTTCCTTACCTAGAACTGCTCTTTTTTTCTCTTGATTACCTTAATGCCCTTTTACCATATGCTCTCTCTCTTGGTTCAATGCTGTGCTTAAACTTTACCCTCTTGGACAAATCGTTTGGAATTTTCCTCTTCTTTCTCTAAGAAGCTACTTGTTATGTAACTATGTTTAATTTGTTCCTCTCTCTGTGGTTTTGCATATGATCGAAAGCTTCTCATTTAGCATTTATTAAATGTTTGCATCCCACTGATCTATCCTTAGGCTATCCCTTTTCTTGTACTCTTGTCTAAATATGGTGATTATGCAGCTCGAGAGTGCCATAAAGGCAGCAGAAACTGCCCAGGAGTCACTTCGTGTTGAGCGTGCAAGCTCAAGGTCATTGTTGTTCTCAGAAGACGAGTTCAAATCCCTACAGCTTCAGGTTATGGTTCCGCCATTTTGTTTTTTCTTTTTTTTTCTTACCCTTATTGAGGTTGCAATAATGTGTCTCCTTCTCTATAGATATGCTGAACATTTATTTCTGTTATTGAGAAAGCTTTTTGCAGTACATACTCCGTTCTCTCTCTCTCTCTCTCTCTCTCTCTCTCTCACACACACACACACACACAGACATACCCACACGCCCACACCCACACTCACACCCACATATCATTGTGTAAAGGATCTTTTTTGGCCTGTTTAGTATGAGGCTCATTTTCCACGTTTATTTTATCTGAATTCCTGTTCAGGTTAGGGAAATCAGTTTGCTTCGTGAAAGCAATCTGCAACTCAGAGAGGAAAACAAACACAATTTCGAGGAATGCCAGGTACATAAAGAAGGAAATCAGTTTTTTTTCTTCTATGGTCGAGTATAATAACTTTGTGTTCAACTATGTTCCCATTCCACACTTCCATTTACGATGAAGGTTTTGATGTGACTTTAGAAATTGCGAGAAGAAACTCAGAGGGCTGCAACTGAACGTGCAAAGCTGGAGAATATTTTGATGGAGAAACAGATTGAGTTGGAAGCCCTCAATAAAGAAATTGAAACACAGAGAACAGAAAAATACGGCCTAGAGAAGAGGGTGAAGGAGGTATTGCATACTTGGACAATTTGGTGATTGAGAAAGATAATTTTGCCATACTGACCTCTGGTTTTATGTAGTTAATTGAAAGGTGGAAGAACATAGATGTAGAGCATTATAATCGCTTGAAGAATGATGTTCAACAAATGCAGGTATTACATACTTTTAATGTCAAATACTACTGTAAACAATGCTTGTACTTATCTGTTCTTCCTGGGCAGGAGAAGTTGAAAGAGCGGGATACTCAGATCGAAGAAATTAGTATGCTGATGTCTCAAAAGCAAGATAGAGTTTCGCAGTTGGAGCAGGACCTTGAGCATAGTAGGTTGCAACTGAATGAGAAAGAAAAGAGAGTGCATGATATATTGCAGACAGAGGTAACTCTCTGATCCATTAATTTGATAAATATTTAAAGAACTATTGGGTTATTTTCTTCGTTGTTTATCTGTTGACGCTGTTTGGTTGCCATGCAGGAAAAGCATAAAAGGCTAATAGCTCAATTAAAGGTTCTTTGCTTTCCTTTCCTTTTAATGTGAAAATTCTTTAGCAGATATATTGATTCCTTGATTTGTTGATATGTTTGGTAACTTGGATACTTGCATTGGTTCTTGTTTTCTTTACTTCCTGACTCTTCCAATAAATTTGTCCACTTTCCTTATGAAGAGAAAGGCTGAGACTCTGACAAAGGAAAAAGAGGAGCTGATTAAAGAAAGTCAAGCTCTTTCAAAGCAGTTGGAGGAATCTAAACAAGGTAAGATTCAGTTGCTTTACTGAGATGGTGGCTTCTTCTTTCTATTGATTGTGTAAGTCTTCTTGGTCTGCTATAGTGAGAAGGCCTATGGGAGATAACTTGGAGCAGGTTATGAAGGAGAAGGAGGAAAAAGAGGCCAGGATACAGGTCTGCTTTCAGACTTCGTATATTTGTTTACTAGCTTTAAGCAGCAGCTGACTTCTCCTTGGCGCATTTAGATTTTGGAGAAAACTGTCGAGAGACAGAGGGATGGATTAAAGAAAGAGAGAGAAAGGCGCCAAAAGATTGAGGAAACGATTATGAACTCCATTAAAAGAGCTGATGAGGTGATTTGCTTCTCCGTTATAAATTATATGGACATAATTAGGTGCGGACGAATGTTTAGTTATTGGAGCCTTGGATAAGCTAGGAAGCACGGACACTCTTCGGGGGCCTCTGTGTCGGTGTCGGACACCGACACTCGTCCAACACTCTTTTTTTATTATTTTTTTATTTGTGGATTTGAATCAAATTAGTTCGATTGGAATAATCATAAAAATGATAATTTATGATGTATATATAAAAATATATATTATTATACAACATGTCCCAATGTGTCGGAATTCTCTATTTTTTGAGATATGACATGTTGCCGGTGTCGGCGTGTCATGTCGTGTCGTGTCGCGTGTCGGTGTCGGTGCTATTTAGTGGATAAGCTTTAACCCTTTGATCCAATCCAAAATTGCCTTTTGGCGTCATGCAGCAAGGTCAATACCGTTTGTTTCTCCAACAATGATTCATGTCCGCGTGATGATCCCAATGTAATTGATTGTTGGCTGTTCATGATTCATGCTTAATCACAATCCGGCAGATGTTTCAAGATAACCTTTTTTCTGTTCTTAAGATGAATCCCTATTCTTCACTCTCGTGCCTGTGTTGGCATATATGGGCAAGTTTGCCTCCTAAAAACTCCAGGCATATTTCCAGTGGAAATGTATGAGTCTGGGAGAGGAGTCTTTTGTTTAATAAGTAAGCACTATTTTGTTATGCGCAATGCGGCTGGTTAATTTAGCGTAAATTTGTTGCCTTGCTCTGCTTACAATGACTGACATCATCCATAGGAGAAAACAAAAGTTGCAAGGGAACTCGAGAAACATAAGCAAGTTTTGAGGCAGGTTTCCGATGAGCTGGAAAAGCTGAAGCATGCCAAAGACAGTCTTCCTGAGGTAAAAATGTCATCTGCATTATAACCACTCATAAGTAATTTGTACTTGAGTAATTCAGGCCATGACAAATACTATACAGTTGTCCTATGGTATCATTTGCTGTGTCTATTGCCTGCAGTCTTGATCCTGGAATTGACTATTAAAGATGAGAATTTTAAATTCTCCGTGATAATTCTATGAAAAGATCTACATTCTATGCTGCTTGTGTGGATCGGCCCCCCGCCCCCGTTCTTCTCTCTTTGCTGTATAGTTCAAACCTGATTTGCTGTTGTTTTTAGGGAACCGCGGTCATTCAGCTTCTTTCTGGGAACTTATTAGATGATCTTGCCTCTGGCTATGTGTTGGCTATTGAAAATTTTGAACGGGTTGCAAATACCCTTGCCACCGAGCTTGGTGTTCGTGCTTCTACTCAGGATGCAGACGCTTCCTTGGCTGCTGCTGCAGGTAACTTGGTTTACTTCGCTCTTGGTATTTCCAGCATAGGAATAACATGACAAGGTTTTTTTCTTTTTCCTTTTTCTGCTTTGAATGCTGTAATATCTCCTATGATTCAATAATCGAGTTTCCAGTGACAATTATTAAAAAAAGTAGCCTAGCTCTTGAAGGAATAAGCAACTTAGGCAGATCTGGGTTTCTTTTTCCTAAGCATAGCCATAGTATGGTGCATGTGGGTGACTTGTGTACTTTTTTTGCACTGAAGATAAGTTATGCATATTAAGAAAAGAAATAGAATGATATTTAGTGTTGAAGGGTTGATAATGCATGAAATGTCCTTTCAGTTTCTTCTGCTTCTGCTCAAGCCACCATAAGTGCTCCTGAAACAAGCAACGTGGCGCCTAAAGCTGTGGAAGAAAAGGAAAGAAGATTCATTCTTCCTAAACCCAATATTGAAACTCGTAAAACAGGGAGGAAGTTGGTTCGGCCACGTCTTAAAATGGAGGAACATCAGGATGTTGAGATGACTGATGCTGAAGGTTCTAACAATGGTGGAAAGGTTGGACCTCCTGCCGACACTGAAAGTAATATCATGACATCATTGCAGCATCCGCTTCGTAAACGTCTGGCTTCATCTGCTTCTGAGTTGCATGAGCAGTCACAGACCCAAGGAGAAGGAGTTGGTGACACTTCAGCACCTTTGATGAAGAAGTCCAAAGGAGTAGATGTATCACATGATGCTGCTCAAGAAAAACGCGGGTCTGCTCTGGAGAATCTTAATGTGGGACTAACGATTGAGGAATCTTTCGATGCTCTTCGCGATCTACCCCAAGCTCTCAGTGAGGAAGCTGTTGATGAGAAGGAAGACACTCAGGTCCCTGAGGAGAAGGCTGAGGAAAGGGAATCACAGCAATTAGAGGAGGCTAGTGATCCCGAAAGGAAGAATGATAAAAGTATTTCCTTTGAGGAGATTCTGAATAAGTCTGACGATGGGTCAAAGGAGCCCATTGATCAAGACAATATTAACTCAGTCGCAGAGTTCATTAGCGATAAAGAAGAAGGAGAGCTTATTCCAGATGCTGCTGATGTTGAGAGTGGTGGCGATGTGTCTAACCTTCTAGAGAGTCCAGAAGTCGAAGAAGGCAAGCCTGAGCAGGCATTAACTCCCACAACTTCGCCATGGAGGGCTGATGATGTGGATGTCGGAGCTACTGTAACAGACCTGAGTGAGATCAACTCTTCTGAACTTCCACAGCATGAAAAGGTTGAAGATGGTGAGATAACTGAGGAAACTGCTGAAGGTTCTGATAAAATGAATGATGGGAGTGATGCGGTGACGGTGGACATTGAGCAGACTTCTGAAGGTGCCGCAGGCAGTGAAAACGCTGGTGCTTCTGCAGAAGCTGCTAGCTTGGTACAGAGTAGTTCCAGTATCAATGCCGAGGTGGAAGAGAGCAAACGGGCTTCACCAGCCAGTGGCACCTCAACTACCATTAATTTGTTGGAGAGAGCCAGGGAGCGAGCAGCCCTGAGACAGGCTGGAGTTGTGACTCCCCCATCGAGCAGGGGTCGCGCTAGAGCAGTACGTGGCCGAAGTGCTCGTGGACGTGGTGGCCGTACTGGGCGTGGCCAGGGTGAACCAGGACAAAGCTCCAAATAAGGTCCAGCTGCCTGTTTTTGCTTAGGTTTGCATTTTGCAATTGGAGCTGCATTGTTTGCAATTGGTCTCTTGTCAGATAGGGGAGAGAGCCTAACAATGTCAAGTTCAATATATATGCGACAATTTTGTCATGTGGTTGTTCATCAATGTCCTGATCCACTAGGGACAATAATTCTTTGTGAGTAGTCATTTATAGCTTGAAGATGTTCATTGCACAAATAGCTGTTTCAACTCTCAACCTCACGTTAAAAGATGAGTTAAGAATATACTAGGCACCAGATTTTCTGAAATGCAGGTTGAGATTCTTTTCCACCCGACTGAACCTTCCTCGTCCGTGATCCTCTTTTTCTTTTCCTAATTTGATTATAGAGGAGGCTCTGTGATCTCGTTTGTGTAGCCTAATTGTAGGTTGAGATCCCTTTTGCGAACTCAGTCCTGTTGCCTCTAGAAATTGATACGTTGAGAAGTCGATGGACCAGAGACGAGTATGCTCTTACCCATGAATTTTTGCACAGGGTTGTGGTAGATCCGAGTCATTGGAACTCGTTTAGAATGGTTACAGTTAGATTTCGACAAGTTTGACTAAGCTTGAAAAATCAAGCGCAAACTCGGATCGGATTGGTTCGACTCAATATGATTTGACTTGAATAATGAAAATAAAGTTTAAACTAATTGATTTTGAATTCCCTGACGGATACTGGAGTTTCCTGTCCTCACTGTTCAAGGAGAATGTAAATGTGTAATGACGGGATCTTCGGTTTGTCAAAGTTAATGGTATGCCTGAGGTTGAACTTGCCTGAAATTATACCCAGCCCATGATAAGATTCCGAAGGAAAAGAAAATTGGATGTTTGAAGCAGATGATTTGAAGATCTGACCCAAGAAAAATCTACAAGAATTCTCTTTTCAGATTGGCTAAATTGAAAGGGACAGCCTGGAAAAAAAACATTAGGCTCGGCTCTTGAGCTGGGCCTAGATATGGTATTAACAGGGGCCTTGAGCCCGACCCAGATTCACTTGAGCCTGCCACAAACCAGGTGCACTTTCAAGTAGAGAACAGAAAAAGGGAAAATGACACAAATTATTGTTGAACTTTGGTTCAATATGTCTTGTCGTTTCATGGATTTTTAATTTGTTCAAATGTGATTCCTGAACTATTAGTAAATTTCAATTTAATCCTTAAAGTATATGAAAATATTCAATGTTGTCATTCCATTAATTCAAATTAATGGAATCTACTGATGTGGCTTCCAATCCGTTAAATTTGAATGGTGGAGAACAAAAAAAGTTACATGTGAGTCAACCAAGTTAGATATTAATCTAAAAAATCACAATACAATAATTCACGCCATTAAATAATGATGGACATGTTAATGCTTTTCGTTTTTTTTTCTTTTTCTGATATAGATAGATAAAACGATGGACAATTTGACTCGTCATTTTAAAAAAAAACGCAATCTCAGCATATAATAATCCACATCAACATCCGATTTGTCATTTGAGAAAATGGAATGACTACATTGAACATTAAGTAATAGTTTAGGGACTACATTGAACAATTTAAAAGTTTAGGTACTGCATTGTATATCGGGCCAAAGTTCAGAGGCTATTTGTGTTTTTTCCCAAAGGAAAATGGGTGTTGCAAACATAAAATATTAAAACCTTTGAGTATAATAACGTGAATTAATCAGCACTTGAAAGGGTGGCTCCAAGATGAGGCAAATTTGTGTGGCTAACATGTTCTGATCGGGATTTAAAACCTTTGAGCATTTTGCCTTGCATGGCGTGATAAATAAATTAGATTATAACTCATTTTACATACGAACGAACATTAGCAAAATTGATAATAAATTATCCATCAACACAAATATTTATTGAAGAAAACAATTACTTTAAAAAGGACTCTATGACATGATAATGAATATTTTATAAATATATGATGCTAGATGATTATCAAAAAAAATTTATAATATGATGTCCTTTATTTGATAAATAAACGACATTAAAGGATTATAAAAAAATACATCAATAAAGAATTATACCTCAGTTCCCAGATAGATGGGTGTTACAATATCAATAAAATAATTATTAAATCTATAAAAGAACCCGTCAAAAAGTTATACATTAGAGAATTATTAAAAAATGGAAATTTAAAAATCAAGAGAAATAAATTTCATTAGATAAGAATAAATTGCACAATCTTTAAAGAAAAAAGAATATATTTTAAGATATTACATAATTTCCCATAATTTATAAATAAATATGAATAAATGCAAAGTTGGTGATGACTCTTATGATTATATGCGTGATCATGGATAGGTTTTAATATTTAAACTTCAAAATTGCACGTTAAAAAGCACGAAGCAAAATTAAGGGCCTATTAATGTCATTTTTTTTATATTATTAAGCTATGATTAAATGAATTATCAAAGATAATTTCTATTACTTTATATTTGATGAAAAGAATTTCTATCACTTTATAATTGATGAGAATAAACTTTGACTTCTATTACTTTATAGTAATTTTTTAAACGAGCTTTTGATGGAGTTCCCTATTAAATGTATTTGGAAAAGTCTTGACAAAATTCTCACAATTAAGTATATATACTTTAGTGGGTTAATACCACAAAAAACCCTAAACTGATACACTTGTGACACATTTACCCCAAATTATTTTTTTGACCATAAAAAACCCCATACCCGACACCCCATGACAATTTTACCCGAACTATTTTTTTAACCATCAAAATATTTAACCTAATCTAGGAATACTTGTTTCATGATTTCTTTTAAACTTACCAAAACATTTTATGCAATACAAAGCATAGTGACAATTTTACCCTAATTAAAATTTTAATATTGATTTTTTGTTTTTTTACGAATATTTATTTACATTTCTAGAAAATTTTTCCATAAAGTCATTATCCAAGAAAAATAAAAATAAAAATAATATTTTTTATTTTTTAAATAGAATTTTTAATTATTTTTATTTTTATTTTTATTTTTCCTTTATTTTTGGCCGATCGCCGGCCGCCGTGGCCAGCGGCACCGACCACAGCGAGGACGAGCTCGCCGAGGCCGGCGAAGCTCGTTCTCGCCGATCTAGTGAGGCCGAGGCCTCGCCGGCTCAGCGACGCTCCGCCTCGCCGTCTCCGGCGAGACTCGAGCTCGCCGGCCTCGGCGAGCTCGAGCTTGCTGGATCCGGCGAGACTCGAGCTCGCCGGATCTCGGCGAGGTGGAGCCTCGCCGAGGCCGGCGAAGCTCGAGTCTCGCCAGCCTCGGCGAGGCTCCACCTCGCCCGCAGATCCCGGCGAGCTCGAGCTCGCCTAAGGCCGGGCGAGCTCGAGTCTCGCGGATCGGCGAGGTTGGAGCCTCACCACGGGTCGGCGAGCCTCGAGGTCGCCGAATCGGGTGAGCTCGAGGCTCGCCCGAGGTCGCGGGATCGGGCGAGCCTCGAGGTTGCTCGAGATCGGCAAGCTCGAGGCTCGCCAGATCGGCGAGGCTCGAGCCTCGCCGAGGCCGGCGAGCTCGAGCCCTCGCCGGCCTTCGGCGAGGTCATCCCGCCCGGTGGCCGGTCGCCGTGGCCGACCACCGGCCGGAATTAAAAAAAAAAAAAAAGAAAGAAGAGAAAAGAAAAAGAAAAATAAAAGAAAAAGAAAAAAAATAATTAAATTTCGATTTTTTAAAAAATTTTGTAAAGAGGGAGAGAGTTTGTGGATGGGTCTAGTAGGTGGGTTGGACATTGGTTCCAAACTCAACCCATTTAGACCTATTTATCTTTAAGCTTTAAAATTTAAAACCCATTTAAGGTTGACTCTTTAAAATTAAAGTGACTCATATATGACCCATTTATTTTTAAATGGATCATATATAGGTTTAAGACCCATTTTGACACCTCTAGTAAGCACATACTTCACAAATAAATGTATGTTATAAGATGATCAGAATCAATACAAAACTAAGTTTACCTGCTAAAAAATTTATGGAATGTGCCCAGATGTTGTTTTATCATGAAGATGAGACGAATAAAGTATTCGATTTACATGAATAAACCTTACTACATTTGTTAATGATAGTAACACAATTTATATTAATTTTCATCAGACTGTTGCTTCTCTAAGAACTATCACATAAATGGATACGTGCTGGGACTCATTTTGAAGGAAAAATAGGACAATTTAAAGCAATTAAGACAATCTAGATCAATCAACATTCAACGTATCCCGTATAGTTAATTAATAAACTATATTTTTAATTACCTATTGGTATTGTTTAAATATTATAACTATTCTAAGACATATTTTGTAGCAGCGACAAATTCAAAGTATAGTTTGCATCACACTTCAAAATATATCTTAATGAAATTTAATTGGAACTTCTAAATAATATCTCCTACTCCCTTTGATTCGATATCAATTTTTCTATAGATATGTTAATTACTGAACCTCCAATATTTCACTATCGTGACATTAATGTCTATACAACATATCAAATATAGTAACATAAGTAAAAAAAAAATTAATCAATTATACAACCAATTTCACATTACAAAGTTTGGAATCAAATAAGTTGAAGTATAATAAATGCAAGACATATTAACAACCAACTGAATTGGAAAATCATTTCGAAGAATAAACTGCACAATTTAGCAAGTCAATGACTTAAATATTCCATGTAATCATTGTATGATTCAATACACATTAAAATTTTATATTTCTAAGTTTTCTTTTAATTGGAGAATAAACTTGCACGATGGACTTCAAATCCACTCTCAATGAAGCTCCTCATGTAAACTCTAGCAAAAGATCCGATTTTATGTGGATATTTATATCGTTACAATGTTCTGTATGTTAATTATTCTTGCGAAAATTCACTGATGATAACAACATCTACAATAATATAACAGACACAATATTAGACCCAGGAGACGCAAGCGCGTCTTGCTGGTAAAAACAGAAAAGCAACGTCGAAGTCATTTGAGTAGTATGTGATGTATGTATATGAAACGCCAAGTGTGTAAAACAGAGGAGTGGCAGAGTAAGTGTGAGGCTAAGTACAAAATCATGAATACATTCATCTGGAGGTGCAAGTGGAGGGTGCATAACCCAACACGCTTTGGACCAGGTTGAACTCCCAGACATGATTTTGTTGCATGATGTTGCCAATCACTGAGACGCCGGGCCACATCGCCGACACGAACCCCAGACATTTCACCCCTGGAGCCGCGTCGATCACGTAGCTTTTCACTGGAGGCTCGAACCGAGCACCATCACTAAAATGAAATGCCAGTCTCGGCACCCACGTTTCCTCGAACCTTAACCTGGAGCTTGTGCTGTTATACTTGTAGCAGTATTCCAAAGGCCCTCCTCCATCCAACCTCGTCCTTTCAAGTCTCTTGGACAGTGCCCATCGTAGAGCACCCACGACAGGCCTGTAAGCCGGCTCCGTTAGAAACGTCAGGCTTGTACCTGAATCAATGATCGTTCCGCCGCCCCGATTGGCTGCCCATATCAAGGAGGGAATCTTTAGCAATGCTCCGTTGATGGAGATGCCCTTCACATTCACCGCATAGAAGGGGCTGAGGGTGGCCAGATCAAGCTTGGTGTAATGCATATGTGAAAGCAACGGTGAATGGCTCGCAACGCCCACACCTCCAAAAGTGAGATAATTGGAGAGGTACTTGTGGCTTAGATGATCAACAAGGCAATACGAGAAGGTTCCGCCGAACATGTTAGAAGCCCTGGTCGCAAAGGAGTAGTTGCTGTATGCCAAGCCCAACACCCCGTCGGCTCCCTGGAAGCTCTGACCTTGGACGGTCAGGGTACATCCAACCACCACATCTTCCACCTTGGTAGCCCTCCCCTTTCCATTTGTGATTTCTGCCGTTACTGTCTCTCGTGCAAAGATCCCCAACGCACCTGACCCGTCTGAGTATCTATTTCACCAAAATGGAAGGGGGTTACTTACTCTAATGGGCTAATTCTGCTGCTTGTTCTAAAAAGTAAAGTGCACGTCAGTGTGCCTGTGCACAATTACTGTATTTCATTGATGGCAAGGAGAGAATCAGGGTACCTGTAATCATAGGAACAGGGTGTGGATGGGGTGGGGCACCGAGCAAGCGAGAAGAGATCCGCGAAGTCAATCTTACAAGTGCGAGACGAGCAAGGAACAGTTTTGAAGGTTGAGGATCGAGTTGGCCGAAATCCTCTTCTCCGGTTGCGGCGCTTGCAGCTCATCCAGGTCAATTCGCTGCCGGTATCTGCAATCAGCAACATCTTCTGAGGGGGCGTCCCAACTTTCACTTCCACGAAGTACTGGCCTGTTCCGTAATCCCGACCTGAGGAAATGGGCATTTCTATGGAGACGTCACTGCAATTGGTTCGGGTTCTTGGCTTTTCCCACGCCTTCCTCCTCGTGCTCTGATGGTGCTTACTGAACATGGTACCCCGACGAACAATGTCGCTATGAACAAGCTCCTTGATGCGCTCCATCTGGTCATAAGTAGACTTCAGAGCATATGCTTGCGAGTGTATCAACTTCAATCGCATGTTCCCACCGGCAGGGGATGCATAACTAGAAGATGACTTATCATCGGTCTGGATCATCAACAGGAGTAAAATGTAGGTGAGGGGCAGCATTAGTTTGTTCATGATGCTTGATCACGAATGCTCCAATGGAACAGCTACTGCAAGAGAGGGAAGCTGGAAGTTAAATAAGCAAAAAATCAGGACAAGTCAAGAAGTAGCAGCATAGTTTCCAGACGGGTAAGGAGCTATCCTGGAAGGCAACAACAAACAAGGAGTACAAAACGAAAATCAATACTTTGAAGCAACAAAAAGCAGACTCCCTAAAGCTTCACAAGACGAGAGACGTTTCTTCTTTCTTCTGCTTCTTAAATAGCTAAAAGGTCCACGTTACTTGCAGCACCAATCAAGTGGCTAGACGTAGTCGTTAGGATCCTTCTTGATTAGGGTTTTTCTCTTCTTTCGTTTTTTTTTAACGTAAAATGGTGTTGCATGATTGATTGTGGCCCCCATAACGTGTCGTGTAGATTAATATCGTCTTTTGGGCGTTAAGTGTGTGTGCGTGCGTGCGTTAAATTGTTAATTTAGATAATTGAATGGAGGGGATAGTATGAGATCTCTGGCCACCCTCTCTATGATTGGGCTTCCTTCCGGTCATCCTGACCTCGCGAGAGCTACACTTCTGTCAGCATTATGCGTGAAGGAAGAGAGGCAAATTTCCATGGGAACAGTGAAATTGAATTCATAAATTCAATGGCGAAGGAAACATCCGGACGATTGTGTTGCTGAAGCAGGGCGGCGGGCGGAGGAGTTGGAGCGCAGGCTGTTTTCGGCGGGTTGACTTTGGCCGACCGCACTCCAGCTGTCCATGGGAGATGCATGTGCTGCGCTCGTACGTAGGTTGCATCGAGAACCTTCAGATCCAAAGTAAAAAACCCGAGGAGCATAGATATGGCCTTTTGGCATTCTTTAGCGGATCATAAGATGCATTCGGTCATGTGGACATATCTAGTATCTATTGCTCAGTACAATTATCTGGATTTCACTCTTTCAAAGAAATAATCACATTAAGTGTTTCCTAATTTAATTCATCAAAATAACAAGCAAGATGGTCAAATTGCAATATATCATTTCCAGTTCACATGCCCTTCAATATTTTAAATTCTCCTGGCATAGACCGAGTTATGACACGAATTTTGCCTAGAAGACTTGCCATAGAAGGGGTAACTAAAATCCCATATCGATATAAAAAGTAAGCAACCAAAAGAATTGGACTCCAGAACTCGCCCATAACCCATGAAATCTATGCACTCTGCATTAAATTACATCGAGATTATGCATCAATTAAATTCTGAACCCATATACAGCTGCGCTTATACCCCATATAAGAAATCCAATGATCTAAAACTCATTTATAGAATTTACAATACCTAGCCTTAGAGTAAAAGACTTATACCTAGTTTAGCATCAAGTGAATTCTGAACCCATATACAACTGTGCTTATACCCATATAAGAAATTCAACGATCTAAAACTCATTTATAGAATTTACAATACCTAGCCTTAGAGTAAAAGACATATACCTAGTTTAGCCAATTACCGTCTTTGAATCGAGGAATACATATAAAGCCATAAAATTCAGGACTAGGCTTTCCTCTCTTTCTCCTACCTTAGACGGTCTTAGTGGATAAACTATAGGTGTACGGAATTAGGAGGGGAACGGAGACCATAACCTATTTATGTAGCATATTTTAATAGACTCATCCATTACAGGTCATTGATAAAATACTGGTTCTCACTGATCGGCCAAACACATTATTACCATAACCAAAATATGTTATGTTGAGACAGAAATCGTTGTGTATTTCCATTAAGCTTAGTTGGGGTATATAAATACCCAAGAGTACGTTCTAAAAGATTTACTAGCAAGAAAGAAATAAATAAAATAGAAAACTTTCTAACTTCTAAAGACAAGATTCCAGATCATCTAAAATTGATAGCCCTATATTTGGTAGATATATATTTGGAGCATCGTCAAGATTAGCGGTGTTAATAGCCATTTTGCTATTGAAGGGATGTCGGTAGGGCTTTGCATTTGCCAGCCCACTTTACGCGGTGGTGTGAAGGACAAGAAGAGGGATTACAGACGACATTCTTCTAACATGGGCAGTCGCCAAATCCAGGGGAGATCTCAGTGTAAATGAGAGAGACAGTCCTCCGCAGCACCGCATGTAGCTTTACATTACAATATCTTTGTTTCCTCATTACTAACAAATGATATTATAATAGTGGTGGGAGAGAGTCAAAAACAGATTTTACCATTCCATATTCGTATAATTTAATCACCGCAAATCGTTCCAACTTGAGCCAGCCAGCTAAGCCATGTTGAAGCAGGGGAGTTGGTAGCACCAATCGTGCCGTGCAACGAGCAGATTTTTCTGCCTACTTCCCATTTTCTCTTCACTCGAATTTCTCCTCTCTGACCAGTTTCATCATGGCATTCGTAATCCCCACGTTGGGCTGGACCGCAAACTTCATCCACGCAACCAGAGATACTGGAGTGCTATTTGAATTGACTTATTTCCAGACATGAAAGGTGAACTCCGAGCAGTATCCCATTTCCATAAGCTGTGCAGCTCATTCTCTCTTGACTTCAGAAACTTACCTCGATTCGGAACTCAATATTTCGCAAGATGTTGGTAACAACAATGCAATCACTTTCTTCGATTTCTGCAGGAAAATGTACATCTTATTATGTATCTGCAGCTTTTAGTTTTCTCTAGATAATTATTGTTAGGTTTAACAAGACTCGCTTTGTGGGGATAATCACCAAAAAAGTCATAAACTTTTTATATCAATACCAATTCAGTCCTAAACCTTTTGACTATTTATCAATTTAGTCATTCCGTCCAATTTTGACCGGCAATCATTGACGTAGACATCGGCTGTCTTATGTGACATAGTCAGCGTTGACATGAACGATTTTTTGCATTTTCCTTTTAATTTTTCTGATTTTTTTATTTATAAATTTTATCAGTCTTTATTTTTTTCCTTTTTCTTTATTCTTTCTCTTTTTCTTTTTTCCTTTCTTCCTCCGCCAATCACCATGGCCAGCGAGGGTGGACCTTGCCAACCTCTGGCAACAGTTGACCTTGCCTTTGGCGAGGCATTTCGACAACGGTTGATCTTGAGCGAGGCTTCGCTGGCCTCTAGTGAGGGTACCCTCACTTGTGGCCACCAGAGGAAGAAGGAAAAAAAGAAAAAAAAAGAAAAAAAGAAAAAAAATCATAAAAATTACAAAATGTAAAAGATTGTCTACTTCAATGCTGACCGTGCCATGTCGGATGGCCGATATCCACATTAGCGATTGCTAGCTAAAATTGGCCGGAAAGACTACATTAACAAATCGTTAAAAGATTTAGAATAAATTGGCCAAATTGAAAAGTTTGTGACAAAATTGGCATCCGTATAATAGGTTTAGGACTTTTTTGGTAATTTTCCCATACACCCCTAGATTAACTCACTCTAGGTGTTGTCCAATTTGGCTGGTCTCAAACCGAATCTTATGGTTTTGTCTTTTGGCATACAAGTAAGCACTTCCCCAAGACATCACTATCTTAGTAATGCTCTCACTTGAGTATGCTTAACATTAGAGTTTCAATGTTAAACCTTGTCATTACGTAAAGCACATCCGAATGTTGGAATGAGGATTATTATTATAAGATAATAATAGGCGGAGGGAGATCATGTGTATATAAAGAGAAAATATGATTCGTTGTCAAGTAATGTAAGATAATATTTCAACACCGCCTCTACATTTAAGCAAACCTTGATGAATTGATAATCTTGTGCAATGAGTTTTGTGAAATATCTCCTTCTCAACTCTGAATCATCAGGAATACATAATTGATCTGCTCGTCTCCCAACTTTTTCATGCACGCTATGAAGGTCCTGACAATCCAATTAACTTCGTTTTCTAGCGCTCGATAAGATTCGAAGTCCTTGTTCATTTAATTTAAGGAATTTTCATACATTGTAAATTCGGAGTAGTTCCAATTTTGAGTTTTTGGGTTCATTCTAAGAGTTGTTGAGCTGCAAAATGATATTATAATGAGACTTTAAGGTGTATTGAAGCTGTGGGAATTTACGGAAGTTGATTTGGGGTTATGATTTGATTGGAATGAATTTTTGAAGTTTCGCTCGCTATCGGAAATAATTTCGAGTTACTATGTTTGGCATTGGTTTCTACCCATTTGTGGCAATCTTTTGGGTCGGAGAGTGTTAGATTCTTTTAGTACTTCGAAAGAGCTTTTTTCTGTTTTTAACAATAAGCTCGCTGGAATAGGAATTCAGTAGAGATAGATATGATACGACCAAATTCGACGTGTGAGCTGCCTTGATACATCGGACAACAATAAATGTTCCGCTATGAGTGAGCTTTTCATTGGCATGTAAGAGTCATGTTGTCACCGAATAAAGCTTAGTTTAGTCAAGCCTTAGTTAAGACAGATATGTACTTGATTTTGATATTTGTTTTTCACTTAATAGATAGGATTTCAAGTTTGTACACTCGAGATAGCTTTTGTTGTTTGGTTTTGCATTCTCAAATGAGTGGTGCTCATATCTTTTATGATTTTGTAAACTCATGTCTTGAAAATTTGATATCTATTTGAAAAAAATAGTGTTCACGGCATGTTTGCTAGTATCGGAATGAGAAGAACAATGTGAAAGCTAGTGGGCTTGTAATGACTAGGCTAAACAAGGGTATGAAAGCTAGTGGGCTTGTAATGACTAGGCTAAACAAGGGTAAGAAGTGATCGCCAAGGCAAGATGATTGGAAAAGGGAGAAAATTGTCCAAAAATTTCTAAATCTATTATATTTTTGCCAATTCAGTCCTAAACCTTTTAATATTGTCAATTAGGTCCTAAACCTTTTCAAATTTTGTTAATTGAGTCATTTCAGCCAATTTTCATCGAAAAACACTAACATGACAGTCTAGTCAGTGCTGGCCGCTCCCGACCGTCTTATATAGCATAACCGGCGCTGACGTAGACAAATTTTAATAATTTTAATAATTTTTCAATATTTTATATTTATTTTTCCTATTTATTTTTTTCTTTCTTTTCTTGTTCTTTTCACTTTTTTGGTTTAAAGGGCCAGCGGTGGCCGAGGGCTGGCGACCCTCGCCCAGTGGCAAGCGAAGGTCGTCGGCCCCGCCAATCCTTTGAACCAAAAAAGAGAAAAAAAAAAGGAAAAACAAAGAAAATAACATATAAAAAAATTAATAAAAAAATCGAAAAAATATTAATAATTATTAAAAATTGTCCATTTTAGTGCCAGCTGTGCCACGTAAGACGCTCGGCATTTACATTAGCGATTTTCGGCCAAAATTGGCCAAATGGACTCAATCGACAAAACTTAAAAAGATTTAAGACTCAATTGACAAAATTAAAAGGTTTACGACTGAATTGACAAAAGTGTAATATGTTTATGACTTTTTGGACAATTTTCCCCTCGAAAAGGAATGGCTCTTGACAGGCTTTTAGGATGACAAAAGGAGCAAGAATGAATTGAATTGCGCACCGAACAAGGGAAGAGCATTCTAGAATTATATATGTAAAAGCATAATTAACTTACAAGAGGAGTCTTTTGACATAGCCGTAACATTGGCATTGAAACTGCAATGTTAAGCGTGCTCAGGTGACAACTATACCAAAATGAGCAACCTCTTACCAAAGAACAAAGCTGTAAGACTTGATATAAGACGGGTAAAAATGGATCATATCTCTAGTGAGTTAATCTAAAGTTGTCACAAGTTTTGTAAGTAACTTTGTAAAAACACAGCCGGTGGAACATCATAGACTTGTTCCTTTTCATGTCAACAACCACCGAAGCAGATACATGTCTTACTCTGAAGACCAACTGTATAAGCAAGCGTGTAAAACAAATGTTCCACTGGTTGTGTCTTGTATAAATTCCTTATTAACAATGAGATCAGATACTTCCTTGAAGCAGATTTGGTCACTTAATTCACAATCAAGGTATTACATTATCCCCAACCAAGCTTATGAACAGATGAGGAAATATTACTCTTTCAGTTTAACACAATGACTCAGAACACATGCCTTCAGATAATAGTATCTGGCTGTTCTGTCAACTAGCTAATCCCAAACAACAGTTACCCAAAAGAAATCCTAATAACAAATCCGAGAAACTGGAAGTACAAACTTAAGTCGCAACTATTTCCCCTCAAGGCAGTAGAACAATCTTGCAATCCACTGAACAGCATTCTACAAGTTAACCTCCACAATTCTAGCGTATCATTTCTGAAATGCATATGCTCTCAAGTATCCATTTTTCTCAGATTCAGCCCTCCAATTGCCACTATCAAGGCATGGCTATATAAGCTCCCATCAACTTCCACCTCTATCAGTATCGTATCTTATTTATCACCTTCGTATATTGTTCTTAATCTCATTCAACTCTTTTTTTTGGTTTGAGGGATGAAATTGTTTAAAAACATAAATATCCCAAAACACAAGTGTTGGTGAAGTAGTGAGGAAGGAGAAAATAAAGAGTGACAGTTCTTCAATATTTCTATTTCATTCACTAGTGGACCCATTTCCAATTTAGAGAGTGAGAAGAAAGATTATAGCTTATTCAATAGAATGGAACAATTCAGCACTCAATCATTACAGTTCGGATCCCCTGAGATAGATAGTCGGAAAGATGCCCCCTGAAATTAGCTTTGAACGGTAAAATTATAACTTCCACTCAAAAGTTCCTTTTTTATCCTTCCTTTTTAATCTTTTGCAGTGAAGGGAGTCAAGGAATGGCGTGCTCATTTTACCTGTTACAGCCCCTCTTAAGTGGCTATAAAGGTAACATGCTTTGTAGGATGGAACTCAAAAACAAATCTGATGCTTGAGAGAGCAACTTCTTTGTCTCCTTGATAGATTTACCTGTTACAACCCCTCTTAACTGACTAGAAAGGTAACATGCTTTGGTTAGGATGGAACCCAAAAACAAATCTGATGCTTGAGATAGCAACTTCTTTGTCTCCTTGATAGATTTACTTCAGCAGGATACAGCTACATGGTCAAATTCAGTCTGCCTAGATTGTATTTTCTCTTAATTCCTAGCCCCAAAAATTCCTATTGCTTCCACAGACAGTATCGATGCAGAAGAGAGGGACAGGCCTAATCCTGAACCAAGCATGTATCCACATGAATTAAGTTTTTTCTCGTCACCTGAAGCAGGCTCATTCCCTATTGATCACAGAGATGATTGAATGCAGCGCACGACGATTACGACCATAAACAGTAAAAAGATATACGTCAATAAGTGGAAGGGGTGAAAAATTAAGTAAAGCATAGGGGCCATAAAAAATCACCTCCATTCAATTTTCTTGTCCGTGGGCATACAGCACAATATATCCGTAAGTCTTAGAGAAATTTGACACGAGACTGACCTCTCATTCTATTCCTGTGTATTCTGATTTTTGTTTATGCATATATCCAAAGGGCATGTCAACTGAGACATCGGCACACATAATCAGAAGATGATGGTGTCAAACTTTTCTGAGCACAGCCTTAAGGTGGGGCTGAAGACTGGTCAAGGCGGTGGCCATTTCAACAACATAAGACAATTCCCCATCGACCAGCTTGAACACTCGAGTGATGTCTTTCACCTGGCAACAAGAACAAAGAGGTCAGCAGTAGTTGTGACAAAATTAGGTTGTTCCTAGCAACGGCGGCGGGGGGAGCAGCAGTTCAGTAGTTAAAGATCATCGATGCAACGAGTCCAATAGCAACGAAACAAACATTTCGAAAAAAGTTCCATTTTCAGAGAGGACATCCACCTCGTATTCGGTCCAAACAAACCAAACAGGAAAAGGGAGAGTAGCCAGACCAGGATTTACACATATGAGAAGGAGGAATAGGGGGATTATAAGGAAAAAGAGAATCTAAGTCTTAACCTTGGAAGCGTTCCCCACAAGATCACTCTTAAGGCAGATGACTTTCTGGTCCGCGTCGAAGGTCCCCTTCTGCAATGATAGGATGAATAAAAAGGGGAAGAAAGATTGGAGCAAGAAGCAGAGAAGGGAAGGGAAGGGGTGGGCAGGGAAAGAGAACCTGGACTTCAACGAGGCCGGTGCTCTGAGCAAGGACAACCTCGAGAGAGCCGTCGAGCTTGGGGCGCCAGAAGCCGGACTCGGAATGCATGGGGAGGGAGGTGATGGGGTTCCAGGTCCGCTGGGAGTAGGTAAGGACGGGCTTGCGAGGGTCGGGATGACAGAAGGTGAGCTCCTCCGTGTAGGCGAAGGAGTCGATGGTGGGATACACGCCTCGCCCTTCCCCTCTCCACGTCCCCACCAGGTACCCAATCCCTTCCACTGCTCCATGCATCATTCTTCTTCTTCTTCGCCTTCTTCCTCCTCCGCCTCCTGTAGGCTGCCCCTGTCTGGTTTTCTCCGCTGTCCTTGGCTCGCTCGCACGCTCGCTGCTCAGTCGTCTCTCTCTCTCTCTCTCTCTCTCTCTCTCTCGATGTGTTCACCTCTTGGATTCCGTCGCCTTCATCGGACCTTAGGAGAGTTAGGGACCATGACCTTCGGGCTTTCTTTTGGGCCCGATGACTACTGGGCTCCATCAACAACTTCTTCTCTCTTCCAAAAATCCAGTTAATTTCCTCAACTCGAGTTTAATATTCATATATTCCGTTATTTTCATTTTGATCCCTGAATTTGCGCATCAAGCCCTTCCATTTGTCTTATCGATTCCTTTTAACTTGCATATCCCCTCTAACCATTCCCTTGGATTTCGATTTCGATTAATCAAAACTTGACGTGCCTTCGATGGCTGGCAAAAGCATGACATGAAAAAACTTATCTCCATTAATGCACGTGACTGAAAACCTCGAGATCAAAATGATAGCCGAACTTTTAATAAGACATTTCTCGGCACAAACGAGATGCTCGGGCTTCTCCATATTAGACTTTTGCAAGTCCCAATTGATCCGTCGATATAGTTGAAAGAAGGGTTCTTATTTATATGGAACTCTCTGATCTTTGTCTTTCCTAAAGTACTAATTGAGTCAAATAATAAAAAGAAAGAAATATAAATAGATGAAAATTATTACAAAGTTGTTCAAATACAATGATTTATAATTAAGTAACACGATGATCATTTATTTTTACTAATCCCCTATATTTCTTTCATATAGATGTGAGATAATACTGTTTGCTGTGGATAAAATACATTCAATGAATGAAAGTATTTGTATGAAATATAAATAAATAGATAATTTCTTGAAATCAACTCCTTTCAAGTGTTGAGAGTATGTTTATAATATCTTGTCACGTATTATGCATTTACAGGATTTATGGCGTACAAATCGACGAAAGTGTTCATTGTTCATCAATAAGCATTATCCATAACACTGTTTGAAAAGTATTCGAAACGATCAAAAGAATGGCAAAGCTCGCACATGAGCTGAGGCTACCGTTGATGGCGTGTGCGACGGTGATTGAAAATGCCAAATGTCTATCCACGTATGGTTGGGTGTATAGTGGGGGAGGGTATAGCTCGGTGGTGGTGCGTGGGAATGGAAACTGGAATGGAAGGATGGCAAACCCACCAATCTGATCTGACAAGACGATCAAGCGGCCATGTGTCCCTGTTTATTTATACCTGGAAGACCCCTTTGACCATTTCCTAAAACAACGTCGTGACAACCTCCTTACTCTTTTCCATCTCCCTCTCTCTGCCATTTATTCTTCGGATTTGTCAAATTTTAGCGTTCTCTCTCTCTCTCTCTCTCTCTCTCTCTCTCTCTCTCTCTCTCCTCACCTTCCAACAATGTCTGGTGTTCTCCTTGATCATTGAAAGCCCAGGATGATCCTCCTCGATGAAACCATTCAGGGAACTTGCATTAGAAACAGCTCATGGACGATAAACATGCACCCGATATTGTCCTTTCGGTTACGACCCAACTTCCCTCTCTTCCAATAATCCATACCTCCGCAAAATTTGACCCTCGGTTTGCCCCCCAGAATCATCATGTTATTTGGGTCTGCGTGTTTGTGTCTGTCGAGATTGAGAAACATAGAGATGTTGGAGCCAGTTCGTTCCTCCAAAAGCCTTTCTATTCATTGGTCAGTGTTTCCCACACGCTTCCTTCATTGGTTTTGTTATTGCCCTGCACTCTGCATCATAGGCTAGTTTTGGAACATGATATACGTGCTTAAGTATTTTATATGCGGCAGGCCTGTATCAGCATTCTTGGATTAATCTTAATTGGACAAAGTTTGCCTGACTCCTATGTCCCTAAAATGCATCAATAGACGTGCCTGCCACCCAATTTTCCCCGTTGATGGAGACATCTGTAGATGTTGGTCTCTCCTTTATTTGAGAGAGAGATGCATCAAATGAATTTTCATTTGATACCATGGCAAATACAAGTCGTAGTTTGCAATTTCAATCATTCCCGGGATAATGATCAGAAGCTTCCTTTTTCTTTTTTTCGAAGATGAAGAACATGTGAATTCATCTAAAGAAAACCTGCCCGGATGGTTATTCCTCAAGTGAATTCGACATCGTTTCAGCATAAGTTCACATGCTATGTTTTTCATCCTTTTGGTGCAGAAACGTTGTGATGGGTAGAGTTTCGATCTCCAGATTCCCGTCGGTGCATGAATCGTAAAAAGGTGAGGCATACCTGATTTCCTAATCTGATTTCGATCCACCTTGTTCCAAATTAATATGAATTGTACTGATCATATCTCTAAAGATGAATGTGCATTCTATATGATTGATAAGGAGCGCACACAAGCCAAGTAAACCTGAAGTTATGGACTCAATCCCCAAGAACAATACAAGCCTATGTTACGACATGCCAGGCTATCCCAGAAAGCCAGATCAAACAGCCAGAGATGTCTCCGAGTCTACCCCTGATTCACCTGCTATACCTGCAAATTCTGATCCATTTCCCAAAAATTGTGAAGTTGGATTGAGAAAAGTCGAACAGGATACCAAGAACAATACTACTGTTGATGCATCGCCTATTTGCCGGCAGCAGATTCCAGGCCTAACAAGAACACATGCCAATAATCATAACCACAATGAAATTCCAACAGCTTCATCAGCAGCGATATTGACAAGTAGACCACTCACAACAACGACGCTGCAACCGCAACCAAATACAAAGAACTACAATAGCCAGCAGGGATCAAGCCGTAGTAACAGCTTGGAGAGCTCGGGTGCGATGCTAAGGCCCCACACAGGTGGGGATGTTCGATGGGAGGCCATCAATATGTTGCCCAAGGGAGGTCCCAAACTTGGCATGAGCAACTTTCGGCTCCTGAAACGCATAGGATATGGGGACATAGGGAGCGTGTATCTCGTGGAGCTCCGAGGAACCAACACTCACTTTGCCATGAAAGTGATGGACAAGTCATCCCTTGCCAGCAGAAACAAACTCCAGCGAGCTCAGACTGAAAGGGAGATACTCGGGCTCCTCGACCACCCATTCCTGCCCACGCTTTATTCTTACTTCGAGACCGAAAAGTTCTATTGCTTGGTCATGGAGTTCTGCAGCGGAGGAAATCTGCATTCCCTCCGTCAAAAGCAACAAAACAAGCATTTCACCGAAGAAGCTGCGAGGTTCAGTACATTTCTTTCTAAATACTTCCCTTCATTCAAGTTAATTAACCAGCTGTGTGACTAGATGCTGCTTCCTTTTCTCCAAATTTTATCTTTAATTCAACAACCAGTGCTTTCCATTCTGTGATAGATCATCAATTTATCAGATCTCCATGGGCGAGCACCTAATGAATTACTCATAATAAACATCTTAATTTCAGGATAGCAATCCATCTTTCCTCTAAACTGTGATAAACCAAATAGATAGATTAAGGTTTTGTGGCTCAGAAGATCTGCTGTACCTTAGGATGATGGAACTTTGAAGGGTGATCAATGGACCACAGCATACTTCTAAAGTTAGTGATCTCTGTCAATCGATTAACTGGTTAACTTTAACAGGTTTTATGCATCGGAGGTGCTGTTGGCGCTGGAGTACCTGCACATGCTAGGTATTGTATACAGGGATCTGAAGCCAGAGAACGTGCTGGTGAGAGACGAAGGGCATATAATGCTTTCAGACTTCGACTTATCACTACGGTGCTCGGTCAGCCCAACACTAGTAAAGTCCTCCTCAGTACATGTAGGCGGCAGCAGCAGCAGCAGCACTGGTTTTTCGTCTGGGGCCATTTTGGACGAGGAGTACACGGTGCATGGTTGCATGCAGCCATCCAACTTTTTGCCACGGATATTGCCCGGGAAGAAGAACCGCAAATCTAAATCAGACTTTGGGGTGATGATGGGTGGAGGAGGGCTGCAGTCCCAATTGCCCGAGCTGATGGCGGAGCCAACCAACGTGAGGTCCATGTCCTTCGTGGGGACCCATGAGTATCTGGCTCCGGAGATCATCCGTGGAGAAGGACATGGTAGTGCGGTGGATTGGTGGACGTTCGGCATATTCTTGTATGAGCTGCTGCATGGCACCACTCCTTTCAAGGGTTCGGGCAACCGTGCCACTCTCTTCAACGTGGTGGGGCAACCTTTGAGATTCCCAGATACCCCACAAGTGAGTTTCATGGCACGGGACTTGATACGAGGCCTCCTAGTCAAGGAGCCCCACAAACGCATTGCCTACAAGAGAGGTGCCACTGAGATCAAGCAGCACCCGTTCTTCGAGGGAGTGAATTGGGCCCTGGTGAGGAGTGCGGTCCCGCCCCATATACCTGATCCCGTTGACTTCTCCCAGTTTGCTACAAAAGATCCAAAGGTAGAACACGCCAACAAGAAGACGATTACTGATAATAATGCTACTCATTATCAGAAAGACAACGATCCTAGTGACTCTTCTTACATAGAATTCGAGTACTTCTAATAACAATCATGGACAAATTTATCACCGACGTTTGATGTATACATGAATAGAGCTAAAGATTTAGCAGTTTGAGCGCCGTGGCACCTCTCTCTCTCTCGCACTAGGAGGAAGGTACGAGGGTGAATCGGGATGAGTCACCAATGCACTTTGCTTTGTAGCTAGTGAAAGCAAAGATACCATGTTCCCCTGGTCATGTGATATGTTTAACTTATGTTGTTTGGGATTTGAATGGCTCAGTTCAGTTGCCCCCAACTGCAGGGAACTGCTGACCTATGGACAGCGGTGTGTGGCCGTAGATGTCCTACCTAGTGGAAATTCTCTGGTCGTGTTACGGGAAAGGAGATCTAATAACAACTTGAGGTGATGTCTTGGGTAGAATTTTGCAGAAATAGGCTGCATATGCCTCTAACATCAAGTGTTGACGGTGCAAAATCCTTCCACTTTGGAAAATGGTATCTTTATCAACAACCTCGAGGGGTCGCTTTAGGCCTTTCTGTTGCTACCCGAGGATCTTGACCTGAGAATAATTACGGCAGCTTATGAGTTCAGTTCATGTAGCTTTCA